AATCTCATCAGGAGTCGGCTGTTTAGCCAAAATTAGCATCCCAGTTAAAATAACCTTAACAGCGTGATTCTCTGAACTCAGACACAGTTACAGGATCACTGCCCAAACTCTTGATTTCATCCAACAGCAGACTGCTGACACACACACACACACACACACACACACGCACTCTCGGTTGTTTCACTTCCTGATTTTTCTCACAACAGAAAAATTCTGATTGTGCAATTCGATGACGTGAATCTCCAACTGTCACACAATGCACACAAACAAATCTGTTTATTGATCGGAGCGCTGATCGATCACTTTATTAGGAACCCCTGAACAGCAGGTGTTGTGAACACTGCAGCCGCAGGATGGTTTGTTTCTTTAAACTCTTTAATGAGGTCATATTCTGCTTTTTTGGTTTTTCCTCATTCCTTTTTTGTGTTATTAATATTTTTTGTGCATGTAAGAGGTTTTTAAAGTAAAAAAAGCCTAAAGGAAGTTCCCGTCTCCCACAGAAAACACTGCTCCTGAACTGAACACAACTGAACTGTAACCCAGCCTTTACTTCAGTAACCTATGGAACTCTGCAACACGCTTCTGGAGGACCAGATGTGGCCCACGGGCCACTGTTTGCCCACAGTATGGATAGGGAGAGATTAATGTCCCTACACGTGCAGTTTGATAGCACATTAGCCTTGACAGTGAGCTGCTGTTACTCAATGTAACGTGAACACGTTCCCACTCCCGATTCGTCACATATCGACGCTTGGTTAAGGCCCTTTAGCGTCATTTTTAGATGTTTAGGGCTCTGCGGTCAAGTTAGCAACGCTTAGCAACAACAAATATGCAACATCTGGTGAGACTTTCAAAATAAAATGCTAGCGTTTCAAAACATCAACATTTTGAAACGGCACTTTATTAAAGTCGTGAAACGTTGTAGTTTAGTTACGTTTAGGCACAGAAAGTACTTGGTTAGGGTTAGGGAAAGATCATGCTTTGTGTTAATATTTAATGTTGACTTTTTGTTTCACATGGGAAACTAACCCTGGTCTCCTGGTTCAAAGTCGGGGTTCTGGCCCTTCATCCACCCCGACCACCTCCTTACTCAGTCTTTTCTGTTAAATATCATATACCTGCCTTTACCGCTAAAAACTGCCGCTTCCCCCACTGCATTGAACTATGAGGCTATAGGGATCCCCAGTGCCCAGACGCCAATGGGTCTTGACCATGCGTCCATATGTGACGAGTCGGGCAGTAAGAACGGGTTGTCATTACAAGAGAAAATGATTTCAATTAAGTATGTAAACAGCATATTACTCCCAGGTGAGTCTGAGAGGGGGGTAATATTTAGTTGTTGTGGGTACGAGATCGAGAATATCACGATCGTCAAACTAAAGTATTATATTTTTCAGAGAAGCCTTATTGAATGCGTAGCACCAGTCTGAGTCTACGAGATGTCGCTCTGGGCTACGTGTCCCACCAAATCTACGCCTGTCTCAGCTTGTAATAAAAACATGGCTGTAGCGTCTGTCAGCTATTGTCTGAGACATCTGCCAATCAAAGCAAGCACACCTCTAAACATCACTTTAACAAGACCTTTATTGTGAAAATCCAAGCAACGTGAATGCTGTTCCTGTCGAGTAGAAACTGAAGTTTTGACTTCAGCCGTCTTCACTGCAGGTAATCACCATGACAACATGCCTGCCGCCATGATGATGGGCGCTGCCCAGTCACACAACCCATCAGATGCCGACCCGCCCGGCCTGGACGTGGACACCCCTTCCCCCAGGCTATCTGGGCTGGTCCAGGATCAGCAGCAGGAGGCGCCGTGGAGGAAGGAGGTCCTGGATCTGCTGAAAGAACTGGTCCTGATCCAGAAGGAGGTTGCCAAGGGCCAGGTCCAGGTGGTCCAACTGCTCGGCACGCTGGAAACTCAGGTGGGTCCACTTTAGTTTAGGTTAGTTTATCTCATGTTTAGTTTAGTTTAATTAAGTTTAGTTTAGCTTTAGCTTCGTTTATCTGATGTTTATTTTATTTTAGTTTGTCTCCTGTTTAGTTTAGTTAACTTTATTTCAGTTTAGTTTAGCTTTAGTTAAGTTTATCTGATATTTAGTTTAGTTTATTTAGTTAAATTAAAATCTAAATTAAAATTATATTGTTTTTAGTTAAGTTTTGTTTTGTTTTAGTTTTGTTTAGTGTATCTTATGTTTAATTTAGTTTAGTTAAGTTTAGTTTCTCTGATATTTAGTTTAGTTAAGTTTAATTTAGTTTAGTTTAGTTTATCTGATGTTTAGTGTAGTTCATTTTAATTTAGTTTAGCTAGGTTTAGCTTTAGTTTAGTTTAGCTTTAGATTAGTTTATCTGATATTTAGTTTAATTTGAATTGAGTTGAGTAGAGTTTAGTTAAGTTAAACTTATCTGATGTTTAATTTAGTGTCATTTCATTTTAGTTTTGTTTATTGTATATTATGTTTAATTTAGTTTAGTTAAGTCCAGTTTATCTGATATTTAGTTAAGTTTCATTTAGTTTAGTTTAGCTTTAATTTAGTTTCGACTAGTTTATCTAATGTTTAGTTAAGTTTAATTTAGTTTAGCTTTAGTTTAATTTAGTTTAGTTTAGCCTTAGTTTAAGTTTAGTTTAGTTTAATTTAGTTTAGTTTAGCCTTAGTTTAAGTTTAGTTTAGATTAGTTTATCTGATGTTTAGTTTAGCTTGAGTTGGGTTGAATATAGTTTAGTTAAGTTAAACATTTTTTTTTGTTTTAGTTTTTAGTGTATTTGATGTTTAATTTAGTTTAGTTAAGTTCAGTTTATCTGATGTTTAGTTTAGTTTAATTTAGTTTAGATATACTTTGGTTTGGTTTATTTAAGTTTACGTTTAGTTTATCTGATGTTTAGTTTAGCTTGAATTGAGTTGAATAGAGTTTAGTTAAGCTAAACATATCTTGTGTTTAGAGTAATTTTGTTTTAGTTTTTAGTGTATTTAGTTTAGTATATTTGATATTTAATTTAGTTCAGTTTATCTGATGTTTAGTTAAGTTTAATTTAGTTTAGTTTATATGATGTTTAGGTTAGCTTTAGTTTGGTTTAGTTTGGTTTGGTCACACATTACCTCATCATTGACGGGTAACATTACATGTAGTCTGATCCAGTTTAGCTGAACTCACCTTGTTCTGACTTTGTGTCCCCAGGGTTCCCAGCAGATCCAGGATCTGCAGAATGTGGCTCGTCACCAGAGCCTGCTGGTTGAAAATCATCAGGCTTTACTCCTGCAGACGTCCCGCATCGCCACCCAGCTGCAGGAAATATCAAAGAATCCTCCTGCTCGCCAATGAGAACCTCCGTCTGTCCTTACACAAGTTCTAAACCAGCCAATAGGGTTGATTTGTTCTTACTGAGCCGGCCAATGATTTTTTATACCAGCTAACCAATAAGACTGTCAGTTATTAACCAGCTAACCACTAAGTTACCTGCTGCCAGTCAGTAAACACACTAATAATCAAACTTCAGCATTAATATTTGTTTTCCTTACTTTACTGAAACAACGAGTTTCATAAAGTTAACAGAAGTTTTTTTTCTAATTGCTTGGTCTTTGCTTATTTTAAATAAAGTTGTGTTACATCATCCATCCAGTGGTAGTGTGTGTTTCTGTATACTGACTTCTGAGGTGATACTCAGGAGAAACCACTTTCATTCAGACTGAAATATCTCAACAACTACAGGATGGCTCATGATATTCGGTTCATTCATGTTTCCCAAAAACAAGATTTCGTCTCTACAAACTCCTGAAGCAAATATTTTTACAGCTAAATGTTTCACTGTTACGAAGAGAGATTCATCTTAATATTATTCGGATCAACAATCTGTGTTAAAATGTCTAATCTGTAAACATGAAACTCCTTCCACAAATACAAAATTACAAGATTTGTGAACTATTTAGCAAACATAAAACCGATGTGCAGACAAACAAATTCACAAATAAGAAACATCTGTAAAGTATCAATACATTGTGAAAGCGTAGACCTGAGATCCACAAATACAAAATGGATTCACAAACTCCTGTTTGAAAGTTGTAAAGCTAGTATAAATAACAGAAAGGACTGGGTCAGGACTTTCACCCAAGGGGCCGGTGTTCGTTTCCTGTGTGAAACAAAAACTCACTGATTGAAACAATGATTCTTTTTAGTTACAGAATTTACATAATTTAATTCATGTCAGTAGTTATTTTAAACCAAACCATAATCTCTGACCAATTTTGTTGCCTAAACCTAACCCCAACCCAACAAGTAGTTTTGGTGCCTTAAAATGATGCTTAAAGGTATCCAGGGCGTTAAAAAGCAACGCCAAGGAGTCTTGACCAAGCATCCATAGGTGATACAACAGGATGAGAACGGGTTGGGACATAAGCCACTGAGCAGGTCAGCCATGTCGTTTCCTCTGATGTGGGGGGAGCGACAACCTGGAGATAACCAATCAGCTGTTAGCAGCTGAGCTGTTAACGCCTCCTCCAACTCAACATTTGGGAAAGTCGATGGTATCAGTAAACGACTTCCATGTTCAATAAGATATAACCTCACTCAAGTACATTTAAATCTGAGAATGCTAATTATCTCAACAAAGATGGGGACGATGTGACGATATAGAAGATACTGATCAGCTCACTGAACTGGCCCTGGTTTTTGTGTGGCTGTTTCTGGTGTCCAGGTGTAGTATGTGTAACCCCACCCATCATCACGTGGGTTCGGTTGCCACATGTGGGCGCAGCCTGTCCATTACATATATTCAGTTTACTTTTATCCAAAGCAACTTACAATTGCTATATATGTCAGACACCTCTGGAGCAGCTATGTGTCTTGCTCAGGGACACATTGGTGGATGTGTCGCAGTGAATCAAACCCGGGTCTCCCACACCAAAGGCATGTGTCAAATCCACTGTTCCATCGCCACCCTCATCCCCCTCATTAATGTTAGTTATTTGGTGGTGTTGTTGAACTGATTTACCGTTTGTTTGTTACAGGTCCTCCAAGTCCTCTGCGGATCCGTCTGAATTCTGTCTTCCAACCTAACCAATCTGAGGTGGTTCTGACCGCCGGTTCACCCTTCAAACTCAGTTGCCATGGTAACGGTTCGGTCCATTGGACCAGCACTGCCTTCCGCATGATGTACAACGACAGAATGCTGGACCCGGTGGAGGTAAGGAGATCGAACCCCAGACACACCGGGACGTACCGCTGTGGGTACACCAACAGGAGCCTGGGACACCTGGACACCTGGATCCACCTGTACATCAAAGGTAAGGTCAGGTTTATGTTCATACCCTCACCTGTGGTCATGAAGGCTGGGTCATGACTGAAAGAACTAGATCACAGCGGCCAAAATGGGTTTTCACAAGAGGGTGGCTGGCCTCTCCCTAAGAGATAGGGTGAGAATAGGTTGATTCTTTTGATAATAATAATAAATTAGATTTATATAGCACTTTTCAAAGTATTCAAAGAATCTTTATGGGGGAAAGATGAAAGTAATTGGTTAAAAAAGAAGAGGAAGGGTAAAAGGGGAAGACAGTTAACTGGGTTATGCAGTCTTGAAAAGGTGGGTTTTGAGGGCCTGTGTGAAAGATGGCATGGAGTTAGCCTGTCGGATGTGTATTAGAGGTAAATGTTGCTAACAGTAGATTTGTTGAATTCATCATCTCCCCAAAAAATGACCACTTCCAATAATGCCCCTCTCTCAGACCCTGCTGACCCCTCCAGTGTGTTCGTCACACCTCGCTCGGCACCGAATGTTAAGGAGGGCCAGGACTTCCTGTTCAGGTGTCTATTGACCGACCCGTCCATCACTAACCTCACCTTCCAATCAGAGGAGCGGGGCCTGCCGTATGGCATGAACGTCACCATTGATCGCCAGAGAGGAGCCCTAATCCGACACCTGCTGAGGTCGTTCAATGGACAATACGTTTGTTCAGGCTGGAAGGACGGAAGGCAGTTCAAATCCGAAGCTCTCAGCCTGGTGGTGATCCCCAGTAAGACCTGTCTGTCTACCTGTCTGTCTTGGGTTCTACCTGTCCCTCTGATGACCTGTCCGTCTACCTGTCTGTCTCTGGTTCTACCTGTCTCCCAGATGACCTGTCTGTCTCTGGTTCTACCTGTCCCCCCGGTGACCTGTCCGTCTACCTGTCTGTCTCTGGTTCTACCTGTCCCCCCGATGACCTGTCTGTCTACCTGTCTGTCTTGGGTTCTACCTGTCTCCCAGATGACCTGTCTGTCTCTGGTTCTACCTGTCTCCCAGATGACCTGTCTGTCTACCTGTCTGTCTCTGGTTCTACCTGTCCCCCCGGTGACCTGTCCGTCTACCTGTCTGTCTCTGGTTCTACCTGTCCCCCCGATGACCTGTCCGTCTACCTGTCTGTCTCTGGTTCTACCTGTCTCCCAGATGACCTGTCTGTCTCTGGTTCTACCTGTCTCCCAGATGACCTGTCTGTCTACCTGTCTGTCTCTGGTTCTACCTGTCCCCCGGTGATCTGTCCGTCTACCTGTCTGTCTTGGGTTCTACCTGTCTCCCAGATGACCTGTCTGTCTCTGGTTCTACCTGTCTCCCAGATGACCTGTCTGTCTACCTGTCTGTCTCTGGTTCTACCTGTCCCCCCGGTGACCTGTCCGTCTACCTGTCTGTCTCTGGTTCTACCTGTCCCCCCGATGACCTGTCTGTCTACCTGTCTGTCTTGGGTTCTACCTGTCTCCCAGATGACCTGTCTGTCTCTGGTTCTACCTGTCTCCCAGATGACCTGTCTGTCTACCTGTCTGTCTCTGGTTCTACCTGTCCCCCCGGTGACCTGTCCGTCTACCTGTCTGTCTCTGGTTCTACCTGTCCCCCCGATGACCTGTCCGTCTACCTGTCTGTCTCTGGTTCTACCTGTCTCCCAGATGACCTGTCTGTCTCTGGTTCTACCTGTCTCCCAGATGACCTGTCTGTCTCTGGTTCTACCTGTCCCCCCGGTGACCTGTCTGTCTACCTGTCTGTGTGCAGGGCTGCGTCACCCTCCCTCCCTTTCTGTCAGCCAGAAAGAACTGGTCCGAATAGAAGGAGAGAATTTTGAGCTCACCTGTCTGACCAGTAACCACAACCATTTCTACAATGTCACCTGGACACACGTAAACTCAAAGGTCAGAGGTCACCCATGTGTCATTTTCTCCAGACTGTCTGTAAATGATATTCATCGGTTGTTTGGTTTGTTCCAGACACTGAACGTCACCGTCAGCCGTCACTATAAGAACACCCGACCTTACACGAGCAGCACTCTGACGGTCTCAGGTGTCAGTCAAACACACAGCGGAACCTACACATGTACTGCTGTCAATGAAGAAGGAGTCGCCACGGCAACTGCACACCTCATAGTTGTGGGTAAGAATGTTTGGTGGAAAAATCTAGAAAGTTAGTGTCAGCATGACGAAAGACAGACTGACTCCTCTTCCTCTCCTTCCTCACTAGATGGTCCCTACCTGAGAATCTACCTGCAGCTGGTGCAGCCTGCTGACAACAAGACCATAGAGGTCAATGGGGACCTGGTTGCTAACATTAGTAGCATGCCAATGGCGTTGCAAGGAGAGCTAGAAACTAACAGCAGCAGCATTTCACTGCAAGTGAACTGGGAACTAATTGCTAACGTTAGCACCAATAGAATGGATGTGAATGGGCCTGGCAGTGCAAACATTAGCGGCAGCAGAACAGTGGAGTTGTATGAAGGTCGTGATGTGACACTGACCTTTGTGATGGAGGCGTATCCTCCAATCAGGAACCAGCACTGGACGACACCAACAAACGTTAACATTGGCAACAAGAACACGGTGTACCAGAAAAGCTACGCTGCGATTGGCTACAGGTCAGCATATTAACGGTTAACGGTTATCATGCTAACAGCTACAGGTTAGCATGATCAGATTTCTGAACACCACCTTTAGGTTTGTTCAGGTGGAGTTTTTTGTTGCAGGTCGGAGGCGAGTTTGTTGCTGCGGCGGCTTCGTCAGGACGACCGTGGACGCTACTCGCTCCACTTCTCTAACAGGTTCTTCAATGGCTCGCAGAACATCGACCTCCGAATTTACCGTAAGAGACTTTTCCTCTTTCTCTTTATCCTGTTCCTTCTTCTTTTTCACTTCCTCCTCTTCTTCTTTCCCATCTTCCTTAATGCCAAAGCTTTTCTTTATTCTCCTTCTGATGATCACATGATCTATAAATTTGACAACCTGTATCGGAGAATTATCAAGCAGAGCTTTTCTTTCATCCTGGTCCTCATTTTGTTTTCTGGTTTGAACAAATGTATAAAATAATAAAATTTAAATGAAATCTCTCAGGATCTCCAAGCGCGGCTGTCCGTCTGGAGAACAACACTCTGACCTGCAGCAGCTCTGGATATCCACTACCCACAATCCTCTGGTACACCTGCCCCAGGGTCCTGGACACGTACGTACCAACCTGACTGACAGTGATGTAGCGCCCCCTGCAGGCTGCAGAGTGCATTACAAACCTCCTGTGACAGTGAATTCTCTCATGATGTCTCTGCTTTGTGTTCTTTGACCTCCTGTTCTGCTGCGACTTGTTTAGGCTTGTTTTATTTTGGTCTAAAAAGAGTTCTCTTAACGACATCTGGTGAATTTCATAAACCAGTTTCAGTGAAAAACTGAACGCTGCTTCTCCATTTTTAGTTTTGATTCTGGGGAAAGCAGACCTGATCCCAGACCATCTGAGCGGTCTGGATGGTAAGCAAAAGATAAAACCAGCCAGTGCTTTAGTCCTGGGTCTTCGCTGAGGCTTCCTCCCAGCTGGATGTGTTCCCTAGGGAGATGCCCAGGGGGCATCCTTACCAGATGCTCGAACCACCTCATACTGGCTCCTTTCAATGCCAAGGAGCAGCGGACTCTAAGTTCCTCACGGATGACTTGACTTCTCACCCTATCTCTTAGGGAGAGGCCAGCCACCCTCTTGTGAAAACCCATTTTGGTCACTGTGATCTAGTTCTTTCAGTCATGACCCAGCCTTCATGACCACAGGCGAAGGTATGAACATAAATTGCCCTGTAGATCGAGAGCTTTTCCTTCCGGCTCAGCTCTCTTTTCCTCACAACGGTGTGATAGAGCGAACGCAGGACCGCCCCAGCAGCTTCCAATTCTCCTGCTCCATTGTTACCCCACTCGTGAACAAGACCCTGAGGTATTTGAACTGCTTCACTTGGGGTAAGGACTCATTCCCTACCCAGAGTGAGCCCTCCATCGATTTCTCGCCGAGAACCATGGCCTCAGACTTTGGAGGTGCTAATCCTCATTCCTGATTCTTCACAGTCGGCTGTAAACCAGGCCAGTGAGTGCGATGAGATACCCAGGCCAACGAACCTTAACCATAACCCCTCCCCACCTGACTACTATCCTGTCCATATATCACAAAAAGGATTGGTGCCAGCACTGGCTGGAACAAGTCCAACTTACTGCCAGGACTCCAGAAACAGCTCTCGCCCTGGACGTACAGGGATTGCATAGTCTTTAAAATGGCCCCCCTCATCTTGCATACTCCCACAGCACCTCCCACAATACCCCCTGGAGAACCCGGTCATACGCCTCCAGATCCTCAAAACACATGTAGATTGGATGGGCATACTTCCAGGCCCCTTCAGTCATCCGTTGTTCCATGACCAGGACGGAATCAGCACTGTTCCTCTTCAATCCGAGGTACAACTATTGGCCGAACCCTCCTCTCCAGCACCTTGGAGTAGACTTTAACAGGAAGGCTGAGCAGTGTGATAACCTCCTAACCCTGTAATTGGCACTCCTTCTCTGGTCCCCCTTTCTGAATGGGGGAACCAACACTGGGATCGGCCTCTCTTTAGGCAACGTTCCAGATTTCGACGCAATGTTAAAGAGGCGAATCATCCAACATTAAATATAAAAAATTATTGTTTTCATAGTTACAAATTAAATCAAGCTGCTGAAATGACTGAGAAATGAGAATAAAATACACAACTGACCTTAACCTCCCATGCAGGTGTGGAGATGACTTCACCTATCAGGTGTCTCCAACTGATGTGACCACACAGGAGGAGGAGGAGGAAGAAGTGAGAAGTCACCTCCCTCTGTCAGCTGCTGCTGATGTCACTGTGGAGTGTGTCAGCTCCAACCACGTGGGAGTGTCTCGCCAAGTCTTTCATCATCGTAAGTGGCCCCTTGTTATAAAAACTTGGGTTGTTGGAAGAACTCGTATGTGACAGTGAACCTGCTGTCTTGTTGTCGTAGCGTTTGTAGATCCTACAAGAAAACCTCAAACGTTCTTCACTCCAGCTGTGATTGGAGCTGGGAGTGCTGCCGCCGTCCTCTTCCTGCTCTTACTGGTCGTCGTCTACAAGTGGAGACAGGTACGTTTACTGCTGATGGGATAATAAATCCAGGTGTATAGCATAACCCTGAACCACAGACTGATTAATTATTGTTTAAATGTGGCCCAGATCAGACTCTGTGTGAAGTGGCCACATCCTGAAGAACTGCGTTCAGACTACAGCCAAAGTTACTCAGATCTGGTTCCGGTGTGAGCAGCCCAGGTCACGTGAACTATTTTTCAGGTCAGATCTGAGCCACTTTCAGACGTGGCCCAAATCAGATCCAGGTCTGATTGTTTGTAATATGACCTCAGTCTGGACATTCAGATAGGAGTTCATGTGACTCTAACGTCACTCTAGAGCGACTGGCGTCACAACTAGACGGAGTCGCGGTGAAGAAAAAAGCTCCACAAAAGCCAGAATTAAAAATGTGTCTCTCTTTCTCCTCGTTATCGACCTCACTGTCATCTGCTCACAGATTGTCTTTCTTCCATCTGAAATCAGAGACGTTTTAAGAGGAGACACGCCACTGAAAGAATCCTCAATGCAGCTCTTTAGGGAAAGCCCGTAACACCATAGATGGTGGTTATCTCGGCCCTCCTACAAGAAAGCTAATTGTGTGGTTCCACTGACAGCAGGGTCTACCACGTATGCGTCACTAACCTGTGGGGAAAAACGCTTTTCAAACCTTATTTTGGGGCGAAGTCATCAAACTGGTTCAGATTCTCTACATGCAGGTTTTATGGTGACCAGAGAAAGTGCAGTTCTGGCTCTCGAGAGAAAGAAACTTGATCCTGCTAGTCCCTGATAACCACTTTTAAATAATCGAGGCTTTACCAAGCATCCCGTTGTCAGATATGGACGCATGGTCAAGACCCATCGGCGTCCGTTTGTAACGCACTGGGGATCCTTGTAGCGTCATAGTTCAGCGCTGTGGGGGAAGCCCTGTAGCGTCAGTTTGTGACTGAGTAAGGAGGTGGTTGGGGTGGAATTAGGGCCAAAACCTGGACTTTGAACCAGTAGACCGGGGTCCGTGTGAAACAAAAAGTCAACATTAAATATTTTTATTGAAGTTAACACGAGTTACGTTAGTTAACTTACGTGTTAACTGACCCAAGTAGATATTTTAACCCAAACCAGGATCTTTTCCGAACCGTAACCAGGTACTTTTTGCCTAAACCAAACTGCAACGTTTCACAACTTGAATAACGTGCCGCTTCAAAGTAGCGATGTTTCGAAACGCTAGCGTTTTATTTTGAAAGTTTAACCGGATGTTGCATATTTTTGTTGCTAAGCGTTGCTAACTTGACCGTGGAGCCCAAAAAAAATTTAAATGGCGCCAAAGGTGTACCCAGGGTGTTAAAAGGCGACGCCAAAGGGCCTTGAACAAGCATCAATATGTGATGAGACCAAGATGGCTGCCGAGCGGAGGGACCTGCCTAAAAGGACTCAAAATCCACCAAGAGAGAGAGGCGTGGGGCAGAACCAGAAACAGTAATGAATGCAATGGAAAGGACATAAAGTTGTGAACACTTGTCATTAATCAGGAGAAATGTGACCCCGGGAGGGTTAGCAGGTATGAGCTAACCGGAGCTAACCTATCTGATGCCATGTTTACTTCCGTACAGCGTGACGTCGTGTTATTCTTCTGCTGATGCGGGTCACTTTCGGGCCGTGGACAGCTTACACTGCAGACTGATACGGGCCAAAGTTTCTATCTGAACTAAACAGATCATCGCTGCTTCATCATGTTTCTACTTCTTCTCCCAGAAACCCAGATACGAGATCCGCTGGAAGATCATCGAGAGCACCGACGGGAACTACTACACCTTTGTTGACCCCACCCAGCTGCCGTACAACTACAAGTGGGAATTTCCCCGGGACAAACTCCGCCTCGGTACAAGACCGCCGCCACTTTGACACCAAACGCCACCTTTTTTTATAATACCAAAACAATCGACTACTCAACAATTAATTGATTTTTCAAAATAAAAGTCTGACCCTCCATCCCCCAACAGATGGAGGAAGTGACCTCAGTGTTTCCCTTCTCTCCGTCTGTCAGGTGCTGTTTTGGGTTCGGGAGCATTTGGGAAGGTCGTCGAGGCGACAGCGTACGGTCTGGGAACTGACAACAACGCAACGCGAGTCGCCGTCAAGATGCTCAAACGTTAGTCCACAAATCTTCACCTTCATTGTCATCACGTGTACGGCGTGTTGTTGCTGTTGTTACAGACTTGTGTTTCCTGTGTGTCGATGAACAGCAAGCGCTCACTCCGAGGAACGCGAAGCTCTGATGTCAGAGCTGAAGATCCTCAGCCATCTTGGTTACCACGACAACATCGTCAACCTGCTGGGCGCCTGCACTCGAGGAGGTGACGGCGCTTTTAATCAATTACAAGCAAATATAAACCTGTCAGGGACTAACCTTTGACCCCGCTCCCTCCCACCAGGCCCCATGCTGATGATCACGGAGTACTGTAGCCATGGTGACCTGCTCAACTTCCTGCGGGCTCACGCTCAGGACTTCATGGCGTCCATTTTGAGAGTGGACGAAGTGGAAGGGGAGGCCTTCTACAAAAACATGGTCGCCCAGCACGCCAGGCTCAGGAGGTCTGATGAGTGTTCTTTGTTTTTAATGAACAATTAATAATAATAAATATAACAAACAATTAATAATAATAATAAAGGAAATTAATAATTATTTAAAAATAAAAACAAACAAACAATAATAATAATAAAAACAATTACTATTAATAAAATAATTATATAAAAATAACAGTAATATTAATGATAATATAAATTATATTAAAATGATAAAATAATAATAATTGAATATTTTTGTGCTATAACAAGAAACTGTTATTATATAATAATTAATAATAATAAAAATAATAATAAAAAGACAATAATAATTAGCTATACAATAAAAACAATAATATTAATAATATTGTTAATAATAATAAATAATACAATTTCTGGTTAATTTTTACCTGTATTTTTGGCGAGGTGACATCACCTGTGATGACCTCGCCTCCTGTGTGTGTGTTGCAGTGACAGTGGGATCTCGTGCTGTTCAGAGTATCAGGAGATGCAGCCCGTTCTGAGTCCAGGACAAGCACACCTGGGTACCAACCACAAGACACACCTGGACACACCTGCAGCTCTATTCTCAGAGTGCAGACGTGTCTAACTGTCTGTCCATCTGTCTCTCAGGTGTGCAGACTGAAAGCCTGACTGTTGGTGACCTCATGAGGTTTTCCCACCAGGTGGCTCAGGGTCTGGACTTCCTGTCTACCAGGAATGTAAGAACTGTACTTGTGAAGACTCGTGATGCAGAAACGTCCTCACAATCACATTTACATCGAAATAAGTCAGCAGCAGCTTTTCTAACAGTCACCTGTTTGTCTGTCTTCCACCTGTTTTTCTATCGTCCACCTGTCGTCCACCTGTCTGTCCACCTGTCTATTTGTCGTCCACCTGTCGTCCACCTGTCTGTCTGTCGTCCACCTGTTTTTCTATCATCCACCTGTCGTCCACCTGTCTGTCCACCTGTCTATTTGTCGTCCACCTGTCGTCCACCTGTCTTTCCATCAGTGTATCCACAGAGACGTGGCGGCGAGGAACGTCCTTCTGACTGACCGTCGCGTTGCAAAGATCTGTGACTTCGGTTTGGCCCGAGACATTCGCAACGATGACAGCTACATTGTGCAGGGAAACGTAAGAGTCACCTGTTCAGACTGTCTTTCACCTGAAGACTCAGAGACACTCAGCTGTTTGTAAAATGTTCTAGTATCTTCAGCCAAGTCCAGCTGCCCTTGACTTTAACCCTTGTGAGGTGTTCATATTTTTGTTATTCAGCCAGTGTTCGTGGGTCTGGTGGACCCGCTGCATTTTGGGGTTTTTAATTCAACACAATCAAACAATTTTATGTTAAAATACTCAACAGATGTTTACTTCATCCCAATTACAAGCAATATAAACAGCATATCCAACGAAGGTTAAAATCAAGGGCAGCCGGACTTGGTTGAAGATACTGGAAGACGTTTCGTCCCTCATCCAAAGGACTTCTTCAGTTCTGACTGACTGGCAGGGAAACTCAGCTATTTAACCTCAGTGGGGTCGTTGGCCCGGGTCATCGATACCGCTGGTTCGTTAGTGTTCCTGGTTGCTGTGACGACAGTCGTTACAGTCGTTGGGACTACCTGTGGCCAAGACTGAATGACCATCGTTGGTATCTTCACCTGAGGCCAATAGGTTACGTTTGTTGAGTTTCCTGGGAAGTGATGAAAGGACAGCATTGTAAGTGGGGGATAAGTGGTGGCGTAGACCCCCTCCCCTGTTCAATGACGGCTTCTCCACCCTGGTGTAGATGCTTCCTTGACACCTCTTTCAAACCATCCATCTTCTCTGTCTAAAATGTGCACCTGGTGGTCCTCAAACGAGTGTCCTCTGTCCTTCAGATGTAAGTAGACTGCAGAGTCTTGACCTGAGGAGTTGGCCCTGCATCTGTCTTAGTGTGTTCTTGGGTTTAAAAAACACAGGGATGTTATGTTTGTTGAAAACAGATGTTGACAGACAGATGCTGGTCCACCCCAAAGACCGCACACCCAAACACAAGAAAAGCAATCTAGTGTATGCGGTCCAATGCAGTGAGGAATGCACAGACCTGTATATTGGGGAGACTAAACAACCACTACACAAACGCATGGCTCAACACAGAAGGGCCAACTCCTCAGGTCAAGACTCTGAATTGTCAGAAATGTGATCTTCACATTCTGAAACCTCTTCTTGTACATCATCAAAATCTTCCGTCTCTTCCAAAATCAATTGCAAGGCCCTCTGAGCAGTTAATTTTTTGGCCATCTTGATCAGTTGTGATAAGAAACCACGCTGGTAAAGCTATATTTATTGTGTCCCGCCCCCAATTTAGAGAAAATAAATATTGGTTCCCACAAGACAGAGGTGCGGGAATGTGAGAGCAGACGGTGTTGGTGCTTAGATTTTGCAACAATGTTGCAACCTTGTGCGGGAACGGCAGGTGCAGAAACACAAAACTCTCACACACACACACACACATAGATATGTGGTTTATGGTGACTCTCCATATGCGTAATGGTTTTTCTAATGTACAAACTGTGTAATCTACCCCCTACACTAACCTCAGGAATGTGAGAGCAGATGTGTCGGTACTTAGATTTTGCAACAATGTTGCAACCTTGTGCGGGAACGGCAGGTGCAGAAACACAAAACTCACACTCACACACACACACACACACACACACACTGACAGGAGGAGGACAGAGTAAAGGTACACAGGACCTACAGTTTCCACACTTTTATTAGCCTCGGGTCCAGTGGACCCGGACATCCTGTGTGTAATGTAAATGTGTAGGGGGGGTGTACAGTGTGTTTTCATTGAAAATGTGTTCTGATATATATTCTTCACAGAAAATGAGCCAAAGCCAATGAGTCTGAGTTTGAAAAAATAAATAATTGTATAATTTTTCTTTTGATAAAAATTGAAAACGGGTCCAACAGACCCGAACACCATACAAGGGTTAACCTTCTTTGGATATATAATAAGTCTTTAGACTCTCAGACTGAACACAAATGTTTACCCACTTTCTCTGGGAGTATCCTCCTGTGGGTTTTACTGTGACACTTCCTGTGGGTTTTACTTTGACACTTCCTGTGCATTTTACTTTGACAAGTCCCGTGGGTTTTACTTTGACACTTCCTGTGCATTTTACTTTGACACTTCCTGTGCGTTTAACTGTGACAAGTCCTGTGGGTTTTACTTTGACACTTCCTGTGCATTTTACTTTGACACTTCCTGTGCGTTTAACTGTGACAAGTCCTGTGGGTTTTACTTTGACACTTCCTGTGCATTTTACTTTGACACTTCCTGTGCGTTTAACTGTGACAAGTCCTGTGGGTTTTACTTTGACACTTCCTGTGCGTTTTACTGTGACACTTCCTGTGCATTTTACTTTGACACTTCCTGTGCGTTTAACTGTGACAAGTCCTGTGGGTTTTACTTTGACACTTCCTGTGCGTTTAACTGTGACAAGTCCTGTGGGTTTTACTTTGACACTTCCTGTGCGTTTTACTGTGACACTTCCTGTGCATTTTACTTTGACACTTCCTGTGCGTTTAACTGTGACAAGTCCTGTGCGTTTTACTTTGACACTTCCTGTGCATTTTACTTTGACACTTCCTGTGCGTTTTACTTTGACACTTCCTGTGCGTTTAACTGTGACAAGTCCTGTGGGTTTTACTTTGACACTTCCTGTGCGTTTAACTGTGACAAGTCCTGTGGGTTTTACTTTGACACTTCCTGTGCGTTTTACTGTGACACTTCCTGTGCATTTTACTTTGACACTTCCTGTGCGTTTAACTGTGACAAGTCCTGTGCGTTTTACTTTGATACTTCCTGTGCATTTTACTTTGACACTTCCTGTGCGTTTTATTTTGACACTTCCTGTGCGTTTAACTGTTACAAGTCCTGTGCGTTTTACTTTGACACTTCCTCTGTGTTTTACTGTGACAAGTCCTGTGGGTTTTACTTTGACACTTCCTGTGCGTTTTACTGTGACACTTCCTGTGCATTTTACTTTGACACTTCCTGTGCGTTTAACTGTGACAAGTCCTGTGGGTTTTACTTTGACACTTCCTGTGCGTTTAACTGTGACAAGTCCTGTGGGTTTTACTTTGACACTTCCTGTGCGTTTTACTGTGACACTTCCTGTGCATTTTACTTTGACACTTCCTGTGCGTTTAACTGTGACAAGTCCTGTGGGTTTTACTTTGACACTTCCTGTGCATTTTACTTTGACACTTCCTGTGCGTTTAACTGTGACAAGTCCTGTGCGTTTTACTTTGACACTTCCTGTGCATTTTACTTTGACACTTCCTGTGCGTTTTACTTTGACACTTCCTGTGCGTTTTACTTTGACACTTCCTGTGTGTTTTACTGTGACAAGTCCTGTGCGTTTTACTTTGACACTTCCTGTGCGTTTTACTGTGACACTTCCTGTGCGTTTTACTTTGACACTTCCTGTGCGTTTTACTTTGACACTTCCTGTGCGTTTAACTGTGACAAGTCCTGTGCGTTTAACTTTGACACTTCCTGTGCGTTTTACTTTGACACTTCCTGTGCGTTTAACTGTGACAAGTCCTGTGGGTTTTACTGTGACACTTCCTGTGCATTTTACTTTGACACTTCCTGTGCGTTTAACTGTGACAAGTCCTGTGGGTTTTACTTTGACACTTCCGGTGCGTTTTACTTTGACACTTCCTGTGCGTTTAACTGTGACAAGTCCTGTGGGTTTTACTGTGACACTTCCTGTGCATTTTACTTTGACACTTCCTGTGCGTTTAACTGTGACAAGTCCTGTGCATTTTACTTTGACACTTCCTGTGCATTTTACTTTGACACTTCCTGTGCGTTTTACTTTGACACTTCTGCGTTTAACTGTGACAAGTCCTGTGCGTTTTACTGTGACAAGTCCTGTGGGTTTTACTTTGACACTTCCTGTGCATTTTACTTTGACACTTCCTGTGCGTTTTACTGTGACAAGTCCTGTGGGTTTTACTGTGACACTTCCTGTGCGTTTAACTGTGACAAGTCCTGTGCGTTTTACTTTGACACTTCCTGTGCGTTTAACTGTTACAAGTCCTGTGCGTTTTACTTTGACACTTCCTCTGTGTTTTACTGTGACAAGTCCTGTGGGTTTTACTTTGACACTTCCTGTGCGTTTTACTGTTACAAGTCCTGTGCGTTTTACTTTGACACTTCCTGTGCGTTTTACTTTGACACTTCCTGTGCGTTTTACTTTGACACTTCCTGTGCGTTTTACTGTGACACTTCCTGTGCATTTTACTTTGACACTTCCTGTGCATTTTACTTTGACACTTCCTGTGCGTTTTACTGTGACACTTTATGTGCATTTTACTTTGACACTTCCTGTGCATTTTATTTTGACAGGCCCGTCTCCCGGTGAAGTGGATGGCTCCAGAGAGCATCTTCCAGTGCGTTTACACCGTGCAGAGTGACGTCTGGTCCTACGGCGTCTTACTCTGGGAGATCTTCTCGCTGGGTAACCATGGCAACACTGCACGCCATCATCTCATCCAATCATATTGCAGCATTTCAGTGGCGGTTCTGTAGTTGACATGTCTCACCTCTGACTCTGTGTTTCTACCTGTTCAGGTAAGAGCCCCTACCCAAACGTTGCCGTGGATACCAACTTCTACAAGATGATCAAAGATGGCCGCCACATGGCTCAGCCAGACTTCGCTCCGGCAGAGATGTGAGCAGACAGACGGGCTTGTTCGTGTTAATGCTAATAAAGTTGTTCTGAATCTAACGGCGCACCTGTCCTCTCAGGTATCAGCTGATGACGCTCTGCTGGAGTCTGGAGCCCACAGACAGACCCACCTTCAAAATGATTGGCCATCTCATTAACAGGCTCCTCCCCTCCACCAGTGACTCATCGCCACGTCGCAGCGACCAGGTGAGGATGAATGAAACACCCGCCGGCCCTCAGCTCCAGTTGCCGTTTGTCCTGAACACATCGTCTCTTCTTCTTCTCCTCTAACAGCCGTACAGGAACATCTGTGAGTGCAGAGAAGAGGAAGAAGAAGAGCAGGAAGAGGAGGAGGTCGGAGGAGGAGACGCAGTGAAGAGAGGAGAAGAAGAAGAGCGCCGGCGGAGAGGTAATTTAACCAGGATGACATCAGCTGTTGCTAAGAGACGGTTAACCTGTATAAATCTGACTCCGCCTCCTTTTTCTCCTCTCAGAGCACCATGACGACGACGATGATGATGATGATGATGATGAGGGAGAGGAGCAGCTGATGATGAAGAACATCTACCAGTTGTCCTGAAATGTCTGTTCAAAATAAACCTTTATTGAAACGCTCAGAGCGAACAACAGGAAACAGCGACGTCACGATGACGTGTTTGACAGTTTTTCTCAGTCGCTTTGGTGCATTTCTCAGATCAGAATTGAAATTCTCAAAACTAATTGTTCAACCTCCACATCATCTCGTCACTCGTGCACATCATAAAAGCACTTTCTCGTTGTTTTGAACAAATTGCAAATGACTTGACACACTGATGCAAATGATTATGCATAATTGTCAGCTGTTTCCTGCATTATCAGTTGCTTTTGTCCTGCTGATCACAATGAATTATACCAGTTCAACAATCTTACCCCCCAAAACATCTCGGCATAAGTTCACTGCATTAGTCACTACATGCAAAATGGTCGAACACGTTATCAAAAATCAAAGTTGAAATGCTTTATTCATATTGTTTGCCTACAAGTTTATACTGTAGCTAAACGAAATGTTGTTTCTCAAGGACCATAAACAAAGTAAGAATAGACCACAACAACATCACAATAGCAACACTCCAATACTCAATACCAGTAAACAGTAACAATACACAGTGAGCAGTAATATATATGTATATATATAAACATATACATATATATATATATCTGTTGTGATGTGGAAGAGAAATGTTACAATGACGTGCTCTGTCAACAAATTACAGTACGAACAGTAAAAGCATAGCTGTGATTCCTGTCCTCTCTCCTGCAATATATAACTTTGTACTGGTGAAAGTGATATATGCCAGACAAAAAAAGTGCAGCCTTGTGCATTTTCAATCATTGTCATCAAAATCTTAGCCAAAATATACATCAGAAAATACTTAGAGTACAGTTATATTGACAAGATGGCTAAACATTTTGACTTGCTTGTTCATAAACGAGACACGAGGACTTGTCGTTCTGAGGCACTGACAAGTTCAATGACAGAAAGATTTGCTTTTGACAGACTAAGGATTTTGAACAAGTTATGGGCTTTTGCAGGTAAACCACTGTGTTGTGCCGTTTGCACTACCTGTTTTGAGAAATGCACTTACTGTTTTGCAAATGTTGAGGATGATTTGAGAAATGCACCAAAGCGACTGAGAAAAACTGTAATGAGTTTTATTTGTTGGGGTTTGTTGGCGGCAGAAAGACCACAAATCTTTATTTTTCATTAACAAACTTTTATAAAGTTTTTTTACTTAAACAAACTGTTTTTTCTGTTTTTTATCAACATGTGGAATAAAGAAACTGTGACCACAGCTTTGATTTATTATCTAAAGAGTCTGTGAAGCAGGAAGTGACGTCAGCAGGTCACTTCTCGCCGCTGGTTTATCCGCTCGCAGGACGACCGGACGGAAACACGGCTGATGTTTGTAATAATGTTAACTTGAGTGCAGACTGAGCTTCTGAGTCAGATCCCATGATGTGCAGCTGCAGTGTGAGTCAGCACTGCTCTGAGCTGAATGTGCAGGTCGGGACAGCGTCCAGTCTAAACTGGAGAGCGACTGAAGCTCTGATCTCCGTCTCTAAAGGACAGCCAAGTTCCTGAATGCAGATTGGTTTTCACATCTGGGCAGCTGAAGGGACCAGATCACAGTTAGTTTGTTGTGTTAGTTTTTCCTTCTCGTCTCTCAGTGTTGAGTGTTTATGTGTCGTTTGTCTTTTTGTTTTTTTTTGGGGGGGGGGGGGTCAGGAAGTGCTGAGAACCTTCAGGCAAAAGCAAGTCATCAACCTCTCTCTCCAGGGTGACCTGACCTCCGGGGACAGGTCACCAGAACCTAACTGTGATAATCATAGACTGTTCAGCAGACCTGAAATCAGATTTTATGTGGCCAGATGAGAATGGATGAAATTCGGGGCGCGGTGAGGGGGCGTGGCTACCGGTACATTGATTGAATGAACATAAACACACCTGAAAATAATTTTGTTTTTGTTCATGAAATCACCTGTCTGGTCTTAGGAAAAACACAACAGCTGTGGATTTGTAGGTAAATCATGATCTTTTACCTCATTTCTATTTTTATTTTATTCATCAGTGCAGCGTCAGATCTCTGAAGCTTCACTTTCTCTGTCCTCGCGACTGTAACTTGCACTAAGCACAAGAAAACAAAGAGGGGAAAAGAGCGCGAGTGTTTCTGTGTGGCTGTAACAAGGCCGTTGACTCCACGTCCAGATGAGCTGCAGAACTACTTAATGTTTAATTAGGCTTTAATCAAAACTCATGTTGGCTCTAATTTTCGGGACAAACCGGACAGCAGTCGGGACATCTGCTCGTAATTCGGGACTGTCCCGGATGTTTCGGGACGTCTGGTCACCCCGGTCCTGCTGAAACTGATGCGTGTTGAAGCTGCAGCGCCCGGCCTCTTTTATCTGGATCAAACAAACAAACTTCATGTCCGTGGTGACAGCAGAGGTTTGAACCTTTCTTTAACGGAAGAATCAGAGTTTGCAGTTTCCAGAGTAACCAGGCCGGACGCTTAGTGACTGTAGCCAATGACAGAAGCCTGTTGCTGCTGATGGAGGATGTGTTTGGTGGGAGGATGTCTAATATCCTTGTTCATATGTGGAAAACAGACTGTAGCCTGTGATTAACATGACTTACTGCTGACTTCTGTATAAAATAAAGACAAGATCTCTTATATTATTTAACTTGCTGTGAACCGACCTTTAAATGGCCAATTTTTTCATTCTGACCACCAAACCCAAAATGTGCCTCTTCACCTTTTGCCACTGTCCAGTTAAATCAGTTAGAAAGTATTAAAATAGTGTGTATTTTGTTTAAATAGGTTGTTGTGAAGACAGAAATTAAGCCTATTTATTTATTTCTTATCTTTAAACATCACCTGTCGCCCTCTTTGCAAACTGGAAGCACTGAAGTTGAGTGGGACACTTTGTTAGATAAAGTTAAAATTAAACATTAAACACACATTAACATTATATTAACATTTAACAGCATATATAATGTGTCTCTCAGCAGCCCTTTCACTCACTTCTGTTTCAGGGGGTTTCACATCACCTTCCTGTCCTTTATGTTCTTTCTTTCTCTCTGTATGGGGGCCATCTTTTGTGGAGCCTAGTGTATTTAAAGAAATGGCCAACCATAAATAAAGATACGCAGATACATTATTCTTTCATGAAACTGCTGCACTTCCTAGAATCCAAACTGTCCCACTTTCTCTACACTGACAGGGCTGTAAATCTAATTCTCAAACATTTGATCCAGTTCCATCCTTATTGTAATTAATCTCATCTACAGACAGTATAAACGCATTTTAAAGTGACTGAATTATCATCCGGTGTCTCGCGTCACCACTAAGGATTTATTTTAAACTCCTGCGGTTTCCGAAACACAAGCACGTTCATAGGTATAAATATCAGAGGACAGACAGCAGCTCCGCTTTCACGCCCTGTCGGACCTTCATTAAATGAACTCTGGGCAGCCAAACTGACAGCGCGACGGCTCCCCCTGGTGGCGGGAGGAACAACAACCAATAAACCAGGGACATGCTTCACTTTCTGAAAGCATCTGTAAAAACAATTCTGATAACCAACCTTGAGAAAGTCTGTAAGTATAGAAGAAAGAAATACATGGCCAACAAAGAAACAAGCTACTAATTATATTCAATAATATTTCATTTTGTTTGCTTTAAAGCAGATAAATAAAGACGTTTCACCAGAATCTGGAGCACAAAACGTTCCTGCACAATATTTCTTTATGACGGTGTTCTTGGTAGGTTCCAACAAATAATCCTTCATAACTCAGACTTCTGTTGATAAAGAAACATTCAAGGTGGATTAATTAATACAGACATTAAATACGACTACTCACTGTACTGCAGTAATATACGTTACCTCAGTTTTTAAACGTTCGGACGTCTTCTGAGAATTTCTCTGTTCATAAAACTGATTCTTACAAACAAACTCATCATTTAGTCTCATTAAATCAAACTGCTTTAAATGCACAAACTGACGAAAGGAACCGTCAGACACACATGAGATTTATCAGCTGTTTTATCGTGTGAAGTTTTAATTATTCAGGTTAAACTGAGGGAAACGCTGACGAGTACTCACATCTTTCACCAAAGTACTTAGATACACAGAGTACTGAAGAGTTTCAGAATAAAACAGGATTAAAGTGATGTTCTAATCAGTAAAGCTGGACTGATGGGCGGGTTAGACGGGTCAGCAGGTTCAGATCTGTACTCAGGTCCTGAAAGTGGACCCGGGCCCCCGAGGGCCTGAAGGATCCACGTGTTACTGATCAGCTGAGAACAGAGACTGACACACACACACACACACACTCTTTAAGCTTTTTATTGTCAGAAAATCACGCTGCACTTTTACAGACGGCGACCGCGGCGTCCGCCCTTCCTCCTGGTCGAGTCCGACGGGATGGGAGTGACGTCCTCTGAAGGCACCGATGAAGAAGAAACAGACACAAGAAGAAGAAACAGGAGGTCAGACACAGCGGCAGCAGCTTCACAGCTCACTAAAGACACCTTCTGTGTTTGCTCACCGATGCGTCCGATCTTCATGCCGGAGCGAGCCAGCGCTCTGAGAGCGGACTGAGCTCCAGGACCTGGAGTCTTCGTCCTGAAACAGAGACCCAGCAGGTCGTCAACAAGACAGAACACGAGGAAGCAGACGGGCGACCGGCGCCTTACTGAGCCGATTCTTCAGGTCGGCCTGCACGGTATGACGACAATATCCAATAAAGTTGTTTTATATTGAGATGACATGCGAGTTGTGATAAACATTAGCGTTCCCACAGCTGCCTGGATGTTCTTAAGTTATAGGATTAGAATATTTTAAATCCAGCTAAATAATGTTTAACAGCAAAGTCACCGTACAGTCAGTCTGCATCAGGAGCGGCTCGTCTGTCTCAGACCGCTTTCCGTTAGCTTGTCTCAGACCGCTTTCCGTTAGCTTGTCTGGAACATTCGGCTAACTGCCAAGCTAACGTTAGCTGCGCTTGTTTAGGACACAAACCTTTTCTACAGGTTTACCTTAGACTGACAAAACAGCGTCTTTAAGTTTTCTTGTCCATCGCGTTTCAAGATAAATCAGATTTGACGCTCCAGACATAACGTTACTAAATTTTGGAACCGGGTCTCGATCTTCATCCCTACAGACGGATTTTAAAATCAGAGTCCATTTAAATTTCTCTATTAAAGAACTTGTTACATTTAACTTTGACTGGATTTCTAAATTGTTTTCAGACGACGGCCTGAGAACCAATCAGAAGCGTCAGACTTCACTGAACTGTGGCTGGAAACAGGAAAACCTGCAGAGCGACACGAACATTCAACTCGCAGCCGAGCGTCTTCACAGAGTGTCCTTGGGCAAAAGACTGAACCTCGAATGGCCCCTGGCTGCTGTTCTGGTGGCGCCACGCAAATACGGAGCGTTTACATTTTATTAATGGAACCAAAGTCCTTATAGGCGGGTCCCGCCACTCGGCCGCCATCTTGGCAACGCTTCCTGGCAGCGACTTCGGACTAACGAGACCAGAGAGCTGCACTCTCACTGGTCACGGGACATAAAAACTACATGGACAGAATCAGCAGCAAAATCTGATGGAAATCTCTGGAAGAGACGACTTTGCCCCAAAATAAGGTTTAAAAAGCATTTTTCACGACGGTTATACTTCTACTGCGCGTGCGTCACGTCTACCTCGTATGCACAGTAGAAGAATAACAGACCCGTACGTCAGTGGAGCCACACGATTGGCTGAAATATGTTTCCCGCTTTGGCTGTTAAAAGCAGACGATTGGCTTTCTAGCGCGGGGGGCGGGATAACCGCCATCTTTGCCGTTACGGGCCTCCCCGTAGAGCTGTACTGAGGATGTGACTGAGCGGCGTCTCTCAGACTGCAGAGTCCGGCTGCAGGTCCAGTTTGGCGGGCCAACATCTGGCCCTCGGCCCGATCGCTTTGATAGCAGAAAGATAAAAAATAAATCATGGTGCAGAAACAGATCGCTACGGTTACTACCTCCAAAATAAAAGCGTGAGAGTTTTTTGCAGCAATGCTTTGTCAGTTTAATTGAGAGCTTTTACTACTTTTACGACAGACAGACCGACCGACCGGGGGGGGACAGACAGACCGACCGACCGGGGGGGGACAGACAGACAGACAGACCGACCGGGGGGGGGCAGACAGACAGACAGACCGACCGGGGGGGGACAGACAGACGTACCTGTTCCCTCCTGTGGCCCTCAGCTTGATGTGCAGCGCCGTGATCCCGAGCTCTTTGCAGCGCTGAGCGACGTCCTGAGCCGCCAACATGGCGGCGTAGGGAGACGACTCGTCTCTGTCCGCCTTCACCTTCATCCCGCCGGTCACGCGGCAGATCGTCTCCCTGGAAACACACAGACCAATCAGACGCCAGAGACAGTGTTTGACATCCCGATCAGCTGTTAAACCATCTGCAGCGTGGAGACTACAGTTCCCATAATGCTTTGGGAAATGTGAACTCAAAGTGTACTGCGTTATCACTCACTTCCCGGAGAGGTCGGTGACGTGGACGAAGGTGTCGTTGAAGGAGGCGAAGATGTGACAGACGCCGAACACGTTTTCTCCTTCGGCCACCTGAGGACCCAGACTGATGACCTGCTCCTCCTTCTTCTCCTTCCCTTTACGAGGAGCCATCGTCTGAGCGGGAGGAAGAGGAGGAGGGTTAGACATCACAAACGCTACAGCTCAACCAATCCGTGTCCCTTTAACCGCCAGCAGCTCAGAAACACCAGGTGTGTTGATCCGAACGCTACCTGACGACACGTCGCCGCATCTCACAGACGCATCAGCAGCATCTGGACCGACAGATAAACCCTGATCCGGCGTTGGTCGGCAGGACGGCCGGTCACGACTCTAAACTGATTCAGCTAACAGCAGCAGGACGCATTAAACTGCCACCACTTCCTGTTGCAGCAGAACACGCCGCAGCTCATATTTACACGACGTCACCGTGTTTAGCTCTTCGGTTCCTCCTCGCTGCTTTGCTAACCAATCAAATCCATCAGCCGTCCTGCAGGGAAACATTTCAACTCATCTGTGGCTGCAGATTTTCAAAATAAGTGACTTGCTGGCAGCTAATCTTAGCTTCTGTTAGCTTCCCCTGCTCCTCACAGCGGTGCGTTCACGGCCCTCCCGTCCGTCGGGAACAGAGAGGAAAACTTTGGAAACGTTTGAAGCTTTGAGGCGGAGTGCAGCGCTGTCCGGTAATGGAACTACCTTACACACCTGAGCCGGTCACATGGTGGCTGAAGCTCCGGCTAACAGACAAGCTACCAGGCTGATGTTTCTGATTTCAGCCCGAGAACAACAACCTTCACACCGTGTTTGACCGCCGACATTAGATGTTCTGATTGTAAACATAAAGTAATGACCTGCGCAGGAGATTAACCACCAGCCTCCGGGAGAAATGCTAACGCTAGCATGTTAGCTGACACGCACCGACGAACTCACTGCGTTTCAACATAACTTACTGGTTCCTGTATTAACACCTCAAACTCCACAACAGATATAATAATCTATCTAATTCATCAGTAAACGTTGGTTTTCCCGCTCCTGAGCTCTGCCAGCCGACAGAAAATGGCGACTTGTTTCTGCTGCTCGCTTCACACACAGAGACAGAAAAACATCTAAAACAGACTTAAAGTTTCATTTAGAGAAACAATTTCCCCGCGAACACAAACAAACATCTTGTCAGGTTCAGATCAGACACATTAAATCATCGGATGTTCACCTGAAAAGAAGATTAAAGTCGGATAAAGCGCTGAGCTGAACTCACCTCTGTGTGTCTCTATACGAAGCAGAAACAAGAAAGGAAGGAACTTCCGCTTCCGGCTCGAAGTTGAGGAGTTCCAGCGCGGGAAAGAGGAGCTGCTGCCGCCACGTGGCGATGGCGCGAAATTGTATTTACATTTTACAAACATTCATATATTCATACATTTATATGTATTTATATTTCATCTGTATACATTTATACTGTATTTATACACTTATACTGTATTATACATTTATACTGTATTTATATTTCATCTTTAGACATGTATACTGTATTTATACACTTATAATGTGTTTATATTTCATCTTTATACATTTATACTGTATTTATTATTTTTGGAAAAAGAAAATAATCAAATATGTTAATTTATATGTTTTTGTTTAGTCTTCTCCTATTTGTACAGCAGTTAAAAAAGCAACATTTATTCCTTAAAACTTACTAGTCACTATATAAAAGCTACTAGTTCTTATTTATTAGTTACTAGTAAGCTAAATATTCCAAAACATACTAGAAACTTGAAAGAAACTAAAATAGTTTTGGTTAGTAAAAGAAATGGTAAAATGACTTTCTTTCTAATAACTAATGGAATAGTTCAGCCTAGTAACTAATAAATAAGTACTAGTTGCTCTTAAATCGTGACCGGTAGGTTTTAAGGAATAAATGTAAAACCGGTTTGCCACAGCTTCCTTGTTTATTTCTATGTATCCAATGTTTGTTTTCTGATTTCCCTTCATTGATCATATTTTTATACAGTTTCACCTCCTTTTACATGATTATCTAAATACTTTTCACAACTCGCTCTCTCCTCATAATTCTGGTGGGGAAACATGAATATATTAATAATAGTGTAAATCTAAAACAATGAACTTAATTTGGACACTAAAACAAATCTGCACCCGTCTCAGCTGTGTGTAATCAGTGCGCCCCCTGCTGGCTACAGGGAAACATCATTTTACATTTTTAATAACCTCTGATAAAAATAGATTATTGACCACTTTCTGTTAAAGAGCTTGTGAATGAATTATTATTATTATTATTAGGGATCCCTGTTTGGTTTGGTTCTCATTCTTCTTCTTTTTCTCCGCTAAGTCTTTGGGCAGCAAAAACTGATGGGCGAAAACTCACTAAAATTGGCAGTAGGTTGCAAATTCCACCCAAACTCAGGCAAAAACAATGGTCCTCATTGACCTCATGGTGGCGCTATAACTATCAACTTTGCATTTTGGCAACAGCTTCCTTTAGAGTCAAACTTCTTTAATCATTTATGTGACTTTTTATCACTTTTCTCTAAAACCTATTTTTACGAACTCGTAATTCGCTGGATGGAGTCAAACCAAATTCGTTTTGTAGGATCTCGGGTCACTTCTCAGTTGATGTATAAAATTTGGTAATGATTGTGTAAAGTGGGCGTAGACATTTCTCATTCCTCATGCAGTGATATTCAGTATCTTGCTGTAACTTGTACAGGATGCACAACATTGTCTTTTTAGATAGCTTCTTTTCATTTTCTTCTCTGTTTTGGATCAAATGCCACCAAAATAATTCACAACACTCCCAAAACCAGCAGAATGATGTGTGATTTTGTGCAGAATCTTCTCACCAACATCTTGACTCTTGTAAGCGTTTTAAGTTTAAATGTGACGTCACCACCTCAACCTGTGAGAAGGTGAGTGGAAACAGCTTCTCACCAGCAGCTCCGTCAGTCACCTGCACTGCAGATCTGCAGGTCCAGGGTTCAAACCCCCAGGAGACCGAGTCAGATGTGCTCACAATGGGGGTGTTCAGATCATAGCAGTTGTCTATTTTATTTGGATCCCGTGAAACTTTGTTCTTATTTTTCTCCGCTTAAAAGTGTTTGTGCAGCTTAAACTTTAAACCTGTGAAACACAAAATGTCGCAGGTGAGTTGAACATTTCACCCAGCAGTCAGGTACATAATGTAATGACGCTCTCTGATCTCAAGGCGATGCTGTAAAAGAAAAAGGTTGCGTTTCAGCAATTATCTCAAAGTCACTTTAATCTCTTCAGTCGTCTGTGTCTGTTCTTCTCCTCTGAAAATGTCACATGTTGCGTTTTTCACGACTCGCTTGGATCCCGATCATTGCCGCTCGCCGCTATATTTATTATAACAAATGTGTTAAATCTGCAGGATGAATACAAACCTGGTTTCTACCTCAGAGTCCTGATGAGACTCAAAGTGACCAGATAAGGAAATAACATCAGATTTCTTCACTTTAAAACTCTAAAACCAACAAAAAACACTCTGTATTTCTATACAGATGCTGCAGGCTGCCATTCCTCCCAGTAAAGCTCCAGCGGAGGACGAAGTATTCAGATCCTTTACTTCAGAGAAAGTAGCGTACTAAAGTGTTCCTGCAGTAAAAGTACGTGAGTACGCCAATAATCAAGCTGTTTCATGTTGTACTCTTATCTCTCAGAAGGATGTTGCTGCTGCAGCTGATGATGATTGATTATTGATAAATTTTCTCCATCGATCCACTGATTGTTTTGGTTTGTAAAGATTCTGCAGTTACTCAGAGCCCAAAGAGACGCCTTCAGAGCGCTCATCGTGTCCAAAGATCAACGTTACTAACAAACATCACAGTTATTACAATCATCTGAAACCATGAAATGTTCTTACATGAAAAACTACTTCAATTACACAACTATTATAAAAATAATTTCCAATTAAATATGTGTCAGTTTGCTGAACAAACTGTTGGAGTTTAATTTATAACTAAACTTCATATTTTATAAACTCTTCATGTGTTTGTGTGTAAACTGACTTTGTAAAGTAACTGAAGCTGTCAAATAAATGTAGAGAAGTAAAAAGTATGAGATCTCCCTCTGAGACGCAGCAGAAGGAGAAAGTATTTTTCTCGTCCACCACTACCCAGTTCTACCTCCCAGTACTTGTTATGTTGAAGCATTTTTTCTAAAACCGGTTTTGTTTTTACTGACTGATATAAATAAAGTTTACCGGGTGTGAAAAAACAGACTTGATGTCGGTGAAAAGAGACCAATCAGACGGCAGCGTTTGACCACCTCTGTTTATTTACAGAAACACTTTGAACACGATGCAGAAGAAGAAGAAATACTCCAAAAAACTACAAAAGAAAAGAGATTAAAAACACACGCTCTCTCTCACACACTGTAACACACTGAGCATGCAGCATCCCAGTTAACACAGTACACAACAATATCCATCATAGTAGAAAGAAGGAGCTGATTATTGATCACTGATTATTGATTTTGAAGAGCGTCAAGATCGCGCACAGGAAACAGCGAGGAGTCAGTTTGACCTTAGGATTTTATTTTCCAGACAGGTTAAAATGTGAACCCTTGTTGATTGATGAATGGTTTATGTATTGATTATTTCTTTATCATTTGTTTCAGAAGGAAAATCCAGAAACCAAATATCAATAAACCTGCAGAGCAGAGGAGCGTCCGACTGATGCAAAACCTTTAGTTTAAAGTCCTTTAAAAACCGACAGGAACCAAACACACCACATTCAGACCGACTGTAGGAAGGTCAGTTTATAGCCCCAAAATTGTGTGTTCTATAATTAAAAACATATCAAAGCAGATTCTGATCTTTTTAGACTAAATATCTTAAACTTGGATTGTTTTTAGTAACAATTTATTTTCAAATTAATATAAAGGATTGTTTTGATTCTCCATCAAAATGAGAAACAGTGTAGAGAGGAAGTTGAAACAACATCTGGATCGGATTGTAGGTGATGACATTTACACTAAATATAACTCATAGACTGTATAAAAGACGTAACCACACAGTTATATTGATCAATAAAATAATAATGATTTAAAATACTGGTGTTTTTTAAATAGTAGTTTGGTTGGTGGTTCACATGAACTGACATTACTGCAGTGACTTCATGTAAAACTGCACATAGGAGGAAATAAATTGAAGCAGAACAATTATAACATAATGAATCAGCAAAAAACTGTTAGCTCATGAGCTAATGTTAGCATAACAAAGCTATTTCTATTCTGTGTTATGAGTTCTGGATCTTGTGAGATTAAGTTTGTCTTGTAAGATGTAAGTTTGTTTTTTTCAGCTTCATTTTGGATCTGGTTCAGATATTTTTGCCGCCTGCTGAGCGACCACACGTCCAAAGGGCTGTTTTATAAGACGTCCTTTTCTTAAATATGCAGTAAATTGTACAGAGTTTGGTTGGCAGCTTGTCAAAAACTTTCATACGTGGCCTCATGCATCTTTACGTTGTGTTTTACGTCATGAGTCACGTAAACTTTGTTAGCTTGTCAGCATCATTAGCACGCCAATGCTTTCAGCCACAGATAAGCACGTTAGTTTGTTGAAAACCTGTTGTCTAAGGTTTGCTAACAAAGCAACAGTCAGAAGCTCCTCCTCCTCCTCCTGCTGCTGTTTCCCGCCACGTCGATAAGAAAAGCTTCCCGTGGAAGTGATCGTCCTCTCAGTGCTGCAGGTGAAGCTTCAACACAGAAACTTCCAACATTCAGCAGCGAATGAAAAATGATTCGTGAAATCACCAGGAAACATTCAAACGGTCCGTCTGAGCCAATAACGACAGGATCAGACTGAATAAATAATTTTAAAGGTTGGAAGTTGCTGCTTTGGAGTCATGAAGGTAAATACGGAGCAGCCAAACCCACTGAACATCTGGTTAAAACAGGAAACACGTCAGAGCATCTGTTCGTAGGAATAACATGAAGGCTGCTGTAAGATTCTTCAGTTTCAAGCATAAACACCTAAATAGTTTTTAAAAAATGACATCTCAGATATTAGCAGGGAGCGTCTGAGCGTCCCACCGCTGCTCAAAGACTTCAACCACCAACAAGTAAAACTTTCAAGTGTCTTAAAAGGTCAAAGAGGAGGTTTAGAAAACACAGACTAGTCTACGGTAGAAAACAGCCATTCACTCTGCAGGTGCCATTTGGAGTCCTGGCTGTGGTCACGCTCTCTTTTAGGGGTCAATATTTACTGAAGAGGCTGAAACTCATTGTGAATCAGACCAATATTTAGAGCCCACCATAAATTTACACGCTTGAATCCCAATAAAGTCCGAAAACTAAACCAAAACCCAACAAGATACTTTAAGAAGGAATTTAAAATCTCCGTATCTCCTGTTTTCGCTGAGGGCTCTGAATCTTTAATGTGGGTTTGGTTTCATCAGCTTCATTTTGGATCTGGCTCAGATATTTGCCGCCTGTTGAGCAACCACAAGGCCAAAGAGCTGTTTTATAAGACATTCTTTTCTTAATTATGCAGGAAATTGTTTGGTTGGCAGCTTGTCAGAACTTTCATACGTGGGCTCACATCTTTGCGTCGGTGTTTAACGTCTGTGCAGAATAAATTATATGTTTCATAACTTATAATTATATCTAATGATTCATTCATAATGATTTTCTGCTGTGAAGATCTAAATGTCCTTGATGACATCACTTCCTGTGTCCAAGTCAAGTTTTATCTGGTTTCAATGATGACCTAATCAAAGAGGCTCCGCCCTTTTCTATCCTGGTATCAGGTCTTGATGGTCAAAGGTCTGAAGAAAACATCCAATGGTCAGCCTCCCGAGTTCTTTGATTATTTCCTGAGTCAACTCGTTCTCACGCCCAAGCCAAGCACTTGTGGGCGCTTGATTTAACGCACTGGGTGCTCCTTCAGTGTCATTTCTGGACACGCAGGGCTCCGCAATCAAGTTAGCAATAATAACTCTTCTTTGTCTGGTTAGAATTTCAAAATAAAACACGTGGTTAAGGTTGTGAAACGCTCGCAGTTTGGGAGTCCTCACCAGAAAAACAACAAAACAGGTCATTTGTGCAACACGTTGTTACGACCCATGTTCACGCATATCATGGTTATACAGTGGCTGTATAACAGTAGCAAAGGAGGAAGTCGGTGATGGGTGGGTCAAACTCTGGACGTTTGAGTTATTTTTAGTTTGAAGTTAAATAGTGTTACTGACCTTTGTAATTTACTTTCTTTAACCCGCTCCTCTACGTTTTCCTAAACCCAACCAAGTAGTTTTGATGCCTAAACCAAAACAAACTACGGCCGTTTCACAGCGTTAACCAAGTGTTTAATGTCACGTGACGTAAAGTAGTTAACCTTTCACCTGACGGGAAACACTCATATGTGTTGCTCTGTGGAGGCATGGATCAACAAACTATTTTGTCGTTTAGGTTGGAGGACTTGTTGCAGTTTGGTGAGGTTCAGGAAAAGCTGGTGGTTTGGGTTAAAATAAGTATGTTAGGTTAAGTTACGTAACTTAACTTATTTACGTGAGTGATGATGTTAAGTCACACGTTGGCTAAACGAAAATCAGCCTCCTTGGTGAAACTTAACCTGACTTTGACCTGACATGATGCTTGTAGCGTTGAAGAACGACACTAAAGGGGCGCCCAGTGTGTTAAAAACTGACACCTAGGTGTCTTGACCAAGTATCCACTTGTGACGACTTGGGAGAACGAGTTACCTGAGCCAGGACTCCAAATGGCACCGAGATTTAAAGTAAAATAAGGGCAGCGGCGCTGTTGGCGAACACATTCAGCGGTTGCAGAGGGAACTTGTGTCACGCTATAATGCATATCATACTAACAAAAATAAAAAGCTAATAATACACAATGGGTTCTCTACAGGGTGATTCACACAACGCTAGCACTGAAAGTCTGATTCAAACATTAAAAAGCTTTTAAATATACAAACGCGATATATTGAGAATAGTAATATCATCATCATAGTAAGAATCTGATGTACAAAGTTCTACATTCTCCGACGGTAAAAAGCAGCTTAAAGCCTCCGAGACAAAACACAACGGGTCAAAAGTCGCAGAATATCAAAGTGGCGTTTTGTTAGCTCGCGGCTAGCAGATACCATTGCTCCCAGCGAGGAATGCTAACAAAGCTAACAAGTCTGAAGTAAGTCACCGGAGAGCTGGAAAACATGGCAGCCGCGAACGCCAAAACACAGGAGAGACCGAAGCCGAAACACAAAACACAAAAAAGTCCTGCATGCAGAAAATCACATCATCTGTACAGAAAGTAAACACCATCACTGAAGAGGAAGAAATACAAACTCTCTGTGCAGAACTCCACTCAAAAATCTAACGTTTTTAGAACGCTACCACAAAAACCTCATATCTCCTGGAAAATAATTCACCAACAGAACAGTTGAACGCAGCGACTCTGAGCCGGCGAGTTAATATTTCACTTCACGATCCAAGACGCAGTTCTAGTTTTTAATTAAAATGTTGAAAATTATTAAGGCTCCTAAAAAAACAACAACAGAGATTTCACACCGCCAACAGACCATCACAACGGGAAGTCAGATTGTCCTGTTGTACGGAGGCTCAGAAGAGACAAAAAGCACTAAGAGCAGTTTTTATTTATTTACTCACCCTTACACGTCACCCTCGTAACGTCTGCCTTCTTAAAAGTAGTTTCTTTTAACTGAAATCTTCCGCCCTTTAGCTTTTAGCAGATGATGGCAAAAACATCATATAAACGAGGCTTTTCAATGAACATTTAAGCTATTTTCAGTTTGTTTTTAAGCTTATAGTTAAATTTAATAATACTGGAAAAGTTTACTAGTTACTGTTGGACACTGTTAGTTATTGACAATAATTTTTTAGAATGATTTTCAAAGCATTTATAAAATATATAATATAATCAGTTTTTTTCACATTTATCTGTCAAACAAACATACTTTTTTCTTCTATTATTACATCTCATTAGTCTATATATCCATTTTAACTTTTGACTTGTTATTTTGTCTCTCCTAGGCCTCCGTACAGATGAGTTTATTTTGGTTGTTGGACTTTGGTCCCGGCAACAGATGACAGGTGACTGTGTCGGTGATTCTGATTGGCTGTCATTTCTTTTTTTTTTTGCTTTGTACAGTTTTTTACTCTGAAAACAATCAATGGTCATTTTGTTCAGCGCAGCGCCATTCTGCATCCCCACGGGCATCAATAACCTGATTTACAAACAAGTCACTTAAAGGGACATGCTTTGACTTTACTTTAGCGCCCGACACCAGGTGTAAGTATCAATAAGTATTAGTATCAATAACTTTAAAGGTTTTAAACTTTAATATGAATTTTTTGTTGGATTTAGGTGCTAAAACAAAATCAGGGAACACAATTTGTCCCTTCCTTCCTTCCTTCCTTCCCTACATCCTTCTTCCTCTCCCAGGAGATCGACTGCCTCTAAAACATTTTGTAAACTAGTTTCTTCCTCTGATGAAGCGGAGTGGAGCGCAGGCAGCAGACAGACAGCTCGTTAAGGTACCTCGTTAAGGTCCTCTTCGTTAGGACACCTGGTGAGGTGGGTTGGCATGGGGGGGTGGAGGTGTGGCTGTTCATGGAAGATCGCAGGTCGGAGAGCGGTGGAAGCTTGTGGAGCTCTCCGAGCCCGATGGAAGCAGAGAGATGAGTCCAACATCCAAACCTCATCGTGGTCGTGTTTTTCCTGAACTGCTGTTATATAATGTTAATTATTGATTATTACTTTTGATTTATGACGTCGTTACAGAAGCTGAGAGCAGTTTTAGTTCCTGATCACCTTTAGGCCCAAACATCTCAACACCACAGCTTCACTGTGATCCTGAATCATATGGTTTCTGATGATTTTAGATAATTAATTAATGATAATTAAGCTGAAATGATTCAGACCCTGAGGCTGAAACAGAGTTACAGGTATTTAGTTTAGTCTAAAGATATAAAGACATTTAAATTTAAATAATTATATAAATATATAAACGATTCTTTCAGAGCTTGTTTATTATTATTTATTATTTGTGTTTTTTGGTTTTTATTGTGACTCAGATTAACTGAATGAAGTAACAATGTGTGTGTCGGGGGGTGGAGGGTGGGGGTGATCAGGTTGTGATCAGGAGATAATGGGTCTAATAATAACTAGTTAACATGGCGACTCTTGGCCTCTGTATAAAATAAGGTGGAAACCTTGTATCTCCTCGTCCGTTTGTTTAAATATAAACATTAAAGAAATATAAAATCACAGACATCTCGTTCACAGCTGAATCTGTTCGTCTTCATGTTCAAGTTTATTTGTTTAAACTCTCTCTCTAAACCTCTTAATCCATGCAGAAACCCATTTATGGAGGCAGCTGGGTGTTTTAATGAGTTATTAATTAATAGATTGTAATATATTAAAGTGTTTTCAATGGTTGTTTCCTCTTAATATTTTATAATCCATTAATCTGTCCATGAATTAAATTTGTCTGAACGGCTGAATTTTACACCTTAATTGAAAAAGTCCACATTAAAAGAACATCTATTATTTTGGGATATCTAAAACCTCCTTAACATCTTCAAGTAATTAATTAATTAATGGATCCAATAATGTTTGTTCAATATCTGAAAACTGGGTAAGAATTAAATTAAATCGCATTAATTGCAGGTGAAAATATTTAAACCACCATGCGTTATAATTACAGTTAAATTCATAAACGATGCATTAAATGATGGGAGAGTCGTGCATCTGTTAATTGATTTCAGGGGAAAATAAGAACTAATTATAAACTAATTAAATATATAACAGCTTGTTGCTTCACAGCTGTAAGGAAGGTGTCGGCACTGTCAATCATCCTGAAGGAGATAAGAGGTTTCCACACTTTATTATAATCTGTGCTGTGCAGCTGATTGGCTAATCACAAGGGGGACGTGGCCGAAGCAAAGTCCAGACGAGCTGAGAGGAGGAAGCTGATTGGTTGGTTATGCAGTTCACTGCTTTCTGGCCCCGCCCTCCTCCTCCTCCGCCATCTTGTTTTTCCCAAACTAAATCCTGAATGCCTGGTGTCAGACGCCGGGCCTGCTGTCAATCAATCAGTTGTCAAGGCGACGGTTGCCCCCATCAAAGACCCGCCCACTCCGGAAGTTAACTGGATGGAGAAAAAAGACGAGAAACGTTACGAAACAAGGGTCGTCCCACCGCAGGGGGGCGTTTAAAACTTTATTCTTATGTTCTTTTTAAAACTGAATCTAAAAACACTCACATTCAACAATTTAAAATCTTTATATGTCACTCTCAGGCAACTTTATTTAAAGTTTTAGAAGCACTCTAAGAGGAAGATGCATTTTTCTCAGTACTGTTATTAAAATTCATTTTCACAGCATGTTTAAAAGCATGTCAACCAATTCCTTTGATTTTACCTCAAGAAAGTGTTTATTTCAGAGAAATTGTTGTTTTAGGTTCCAATTTTTTTTTACATAATTTACACATGTATTTAAAAAAAAATGTTTTTAAGAGACAGAAACTTCAAGTTTATAAATGTTTTTGGTGGAAAGTGAAACCGACTGAAAACCTGGGGACACAACTAAAATGTGTATTTTAACTAAAATATTTTGAACTTCTTTGGAAGATTTCTGAAGGATGTAAATCATATTTCACGGTGTAGTTTTAGGGAGTGGGGACAGGTAATAAATTTAATTTTTCCAGTGTTCTAGGTTGTTTTAATTGACGTTTTAATTTATAGATCTTGCATTTGCTATTAGATCAACGTGCAGATCAGAACACTTTGCTTAATAATACAAAGTATTTTAAAGCTCATTTTCATGCAAAGAGAAATGGCAGTGAACAAATAAAAGAACTTCCTAAGATTAAAAAAGAAACTTACTTATTGAGCGTGGAGGCGGAGCCTGAGCGGTGGAAGTGGACAATCTGCCACTTTCCATCACGGCGGTGCCACACCCTGGTCTCCTCTGATTGGGCGGTGCGAGGCGTCCCGTTGGTGTCGATGTACTGCGTCACTCTGATGTACGCGATGCAGGCGGCCTCGTCCCCGACCAGGTGGATGTGGGGGTTCAGGATGGTGGTGTGGACCGGTTTACTGTTCTTAGACCACACTGAGGAGAGACAGAGACCGTTACCTGGACCGGTAGGGAGGACAGGACTGGAAACAGGTGGACAGTGTTTAACAAGGTTTTCCTCAATCAGGCAGGAAGTTTAGTTCAACTCACAGTTTTCAAAATAAAAGCGGTGGAAGTCGAGGCCTTCTACCAGATTCCCCAATGCCTCGGGCTCGAACGCCGTCACCGCCGGGTCGCACATTTTACTGATGGGACAGTGAGACTTTCACAATAAGAGTCTAATAGTGGAGGAGATGATAAAGAGATGTAGAGTTTGTGTGTGTGTGTGTGTGGATAGGTCTAACTCATGTTGTGGGGACATTAATCTGTTTACAGCAATGTGGGGACTCACCTTCCTTATGGGGACAAAACGCAGGTCACTAAATCTAAGAGTGGAGCCTTACTTTAGGAAACAGCTGTTAGCCAGTGTGATGTCCTCTGAAGCAATGAAAACACTGCTCTGTGTGTGTGTGTATGTGTGTGTAGTCTTGTCTAACTGACTTTGTGGGGTCCCTTAACTTAACTATACACTCACTACTGGGGTTCGACTGCTTTATGGGCACCAAACTGCTGGACCCCAGCAATATAGAGGGCTGTTTGAGGGTTCAGGTTACAGTTATGTTAGGTGTAGGGTTAAGGTAAGACATGTAGATGGTTAAAGAGGTTGTATTCTGCTCATGTTTAGGTTCATTATTTTATTTAGAGGTTGTACCAGAACAGTTTTACATGGTTTCATTTCAACACCATATATTCCAGTAATTCCAGCAGCTCCTCTTTTCTCCCGTTGTGTTGAACACTTTTAACTTGTAACTTTTAGTTAGAGAGTGAAGCATCTCACTTCTATAAGATCTTTGATGGGTAAGTCAGTGCTAGCCAATCAGAAGCAGAGTAGGGCAAGGCCGCTTCAGTTGGTAATAACTAACTAACTGAGCTCTGTCTCCACACCACAGTAACAGCTTCATGTCCCGACTGCCTGGCGGGGCTCTAACCATAGACTGTATATAGGAAATGGACGTAGTCATCGTGATGTCACCCATTGGTTTGTGGACTGCCGTTTTGAAGCCTCGAGTTTGGCTGATAGGTCACCGCCATGTCGAGTTTTTGCAACCAATAAGTGCCCAAAAGTGACGATACGGTGAGCTAACGGCCGTGTGCAGAGCTAGCTAGCTTGCTTAGCTAGGTGCCACTGTAACTCACGTTAAGTGGGCTGATAACTTTGTCTAGAGAACAACAGTCTTAAAACTAAATGTACTCGCCAGAGAAAGTGAACAGCCAACTCCTAATAAGCTTTTTCAACGGTGCTGGTTAAATTTACACAGCGCCGAGGGTACGAGTCACTATAGCCCAATTGACAGGTCGCTATGGTAACGACTTGTCAATCATAGATAACCCCGCCCTGAAACATACTCATCATTTTGTGTTGAAGAAGATTTGAAACTAGCGACTGAGACCATAAACTCATCAGGAAAATGTTTACTGGGGTAATGATTCAGCTGAGTAGAAACATTTTCCCATTATTTCTAATGGAGCTGGACTTCTTTTTGCAACCAGAAGAGTCGCCCCCTGCTGGATGTTCAATAGCTTGCAGGTTTCAGGGACTCATTCACTTCATATTGTAGACCGGAAGCTTCCCGCTTGGCCCGAACGTTGGGTAGGGAGAGTGGTGGTGAGGGGGGGTCACTGTGCGCTGCAGCTCAGTGTGTTTCTCCACACTAGCCGCTAGGCAGCATCATGCTACGTGATACAGAGTGACGCAGAGAGGTTACAGCAGTAAAGGCTGGACTACAATCCAGCTGTGTTCAGTTCAGGAGCAGAGCTTTCTGTGGGAAACGGGAACTCCCTTTGGGCTTTTTCACTTTGAAAACCTGTTGCATGCACAGAAAAGATTTATATTTACACAATAAAGGAGAGGGGAAAAGCCAAAAAGCAGAATACGACCTCTTTATCATGTCCTCACAAAGGTAGTAAGTGTGAGTGTTTGTTACATACGTGTAGCTCTCAAAGTCTCCGTTGCTGATCGCCTCGATGAGCTGCTCTGTGACTTTAATGATGTCCTGCTTCCTCACTGACACAGACAGACACACAGGTTATTGTTGTATTTGAAAGTGTCCTCCTGTGCATTCAGATCAAACGTGAAGCGAGCGCTGGGCGCAGCATCATTACATGTAAAGTCACTGCAAGGAAGTGATTTCCTGCAACCCTGAGTAGAATTTTTCAACTTCTGCGACAGTCGGGTGACGCTGTGTGGCAGTGTTCAGATTGTCTGGACATCACCGACGGCTTCAGAGTGTTTGGAGAGAGCCGGAGCGACAGAGTCTCTGCTCGCTGTCACACAGCTGCTGAGCTACAGGAGCTCTGGAGGAGAGAGCCCGGCGGTGCCGAAACTTTGGATAATAAACCCCCACAGTCTGATTCTGCTCTGCTAACAGAGCCGTTACCTGACGGGAGGAGCTCAGAGTTAACTATCAAATTAACTTTTTGGGATTAAAACATTAATTTATCTTTACTGGAGCTTCTCAGCAGCGAGCCGGCGTGTGCTTCTGACCTCCACTGTTGTTGTGAGCATCGGTTGACACCCAGAGCTCTGTGATACCACTACATCATATTTATATAAAAACCAGACAAAACTGGACATTACTTGGAGAAAAGTAAGAGAGGAAGCTCAACTACCTGGTGGGTTCAGAAAATGTGTGTCTGTTACTTTATTCCAGCTGTCGTTGTACTTTTACTCTGAACAAGTTAGCGTAGCATAGCCCTGATCGAGCCGAACTCCATTCAGAAAACAAACATTTTAACAGTTTTTGTCCTGCTGACAGACCTGACTCATATTTAACAAATCAGCATCATGTTGTCGTTATTTCAGTTTGAATATCAATCTAAATCACAGCTACATGCTGAATTTGGATTGATGGGTTGGGTTTATTAGCATCATCTCATTGTGTGTGAACATTCAGCGAGACGATGAAAGGATCAAATTCTCGTTCGGTCTGAATGCACAGTTAGTGTGTGTGTTTACCTCTGGTGTCTTCATCCTCTATGGTGGTGTTTGTGCTCTCAGAGGATTCCTACGAGATCAGTCACAACATCAGCAATGATAAAGATCAAATCCATAATATAAACAGTAATAATTAGAAGAAGCAGAAGAAGAAGGCCACCAACATGGTGGTCAGAATGACTCCCTGAAGGAAAGGAAACAAGGAGGGAAGGAAGGAAGAAGCAGAGCGTTACCTTGACTCCGTCGGTCTTCTTGTTGCTCCCGCTCTTTCCTCCTGAACGAGGGATGAGGATGAAGAGAAAAAGAAGCAGCAGAGTCAGAAAGAAAGGAACAAACGCAGAGAAGAGGAGCGACGGCATCGCCGCCGACAGGAAGCACTTCAAAATAAAGGACAGAAAAACTGAAACCAAAGAAAGTTTAAAACAAACTCAGAGAATGACAGAACAAAGAGTAGAAAGAGTGAGCAGGTGAGAGGAGGTCCGATAAAAGAGGAAAGTCTCTTCTAAAGTCACGTGTTTTTGGTCAAAAACAAGAGAAACGCTCCAATAATGCGGCGCCGCTTCCTGTCGGACCCTCTGCTGCCTGAGAGGAGCGGCGGGCAGCAGACGGGTGGAGGTCGGTCACGTGACCCTGAGGCCAAATTTAGTTTGAGCTTCAGATAGCTGGAGAGCAGAAACACATTCCTGTGAGCGGCTCCTCCTCCTCCTCCGCCCTGATGCCACACTTCAGATTTGTTTTATAAAGTGCCGCTGTGATGTTTTCATCTCTGTCACGGTGACGGAGGACGAGCGTCTTCGTCAGGGATCACAGAGGTTATTAATGATTGGCTCACAGCTGCCTGCCTCTCAGGGTGGTTTCCATGCTAACTATAGATCTGTGGTATCCTGGGTGGGTCAGAAACTCAATAGCTGCACACAAACACTTTACCTCACGGTGACCTGCACTATGTGCCACAACAGGAGCAGTTACACAAGTTGTGTACTTATTAGAGGTACTTGTACTTTACTTGAGTATTTTCTCCTTCTGCTCCAGCTCAGAGGCAGATACTTTTATCTGACAGCTTCAGTTACTTTTTCTAAAGTCAGATTTTAAGACATGAAGAGTTTAGAAAAGATGTTTGGTTATAAATTAAACTCCAACAGTTTGTACAGCTGGTACATTCATTGACAGAAAAACTAAATTGGCAACAGTTTTATAATCTTTCAAGTCATTTTCATGTAAAAACATTTCATGTGAAGATTTGCTGCTTTTCCTTTTAATTATTTGAATGTGTGTGTGTGTTTTTTTTTTAATAATTTTGAGGTTTGGACTGACAGAACTAACGTTGGGAAGTCCTCTTTTTGGTCACTTTGGGTAACTGTGACAACATTTCTCTCTGTTTTCAGACTTTTTACTATCGATCAACGGAGAAAATAATTAGCAGGTTAATCCAAAATGAAAATAATCATCAGCTGCAGTCTGAAACTCAATAAAAACTAAATCCTGCTTTGACATTAACGTAATGATTTAATAGAACAACCAGGGGAGCGACGGAGGGAATTTATCAGTAATGATCAGCTGTTCAGACTGAGCTGCAGCAGCAACATCCTGCTGCTCATTAACGAGGAGGAGGAGTCTGAGGACAGATAGGAGTACAACATGTTACTGCTTGAATACTTTAATCTGTGTATCCTCACATACTTTTACTGCAGTCACAGTTTCAGTGCTTTAACTTGTGACAGAGTATTTTTACAGTGAGGTATTAGTACTTTTACTCTAGTGAAGGATCTGAGTACTTTGTCCACCGCTGAGCACGAGTGTTAACCTGATAATTGTGTGTAAGCCGGCAGCTGATTGGTTCGTCTCTGAGCGTTAAACCCTCCGCTGCTGTAACACAAACCTGCAGGTCACAGGTCGAAATCCCACACTGCTGCCACAGCAGGTCACGTGACTCCCTGGTGACCAATAGAAAGCTGGAGACTGATGGACCTGAGCTAACACATGACCTCTGACCTCTGACCCCTCCCCCCCTTCTTACCGGAGAAGTTTCTGGTGGCCAACATGGTGGTGAGGATGGCTCCCTGAAGGAAAGGAAACAAGAAGGAAGTATTTAACCAAAGACACAAAGGTGTGAACATCAGAGACGTGTGAGAGACAGGAGGTCTCGCTCTGCAGCTCACACAATATATCAAACGTCAAATCGAGGAAAGGTAAAAAAGGTTGGATTCGGATTTAGTCTCAAAACATTTAAGAGACAGTTTATCTGAATCAGATCGTGAAAGAACATTTGAAAAATCCTAACTTTTCCTCTTTCAGAGAAATATTCGCAGGGTAAAAACCTAAAATCTAAACTCAGGCGGTTTCTCCTCCCTCGGAAGTACTTAGACCAGGTCTTAACAGGGTCCAGTAGAATCTCTAGTCCAGTTCACAGCTGGGTCGCGGTGCGTCGGGGCTGAGTAGAGCTGAACGTTTCTCTCTGACGCTTTTAATAACAAGATCGCACCGCAAACGATCTGGATTCACGCCGACGATCCTGAGGAAATAAATATGGTCCGAGGTTTGACTGGCGGGAGCGAAAAGAATAATGTTTTTATTTTCTGTCTTTGTTATAATAAGTGTCCCGCAGTAAAACTATAATCCTCAATAACAAAATAATAAATGTTCAATATATCGTCAGTGAAAATTTACTGACTAACTGAATCACAAACAAATTAGCTTTTAATTTTTCTGTTAAAATATTTATTTTGTTGAAAAAGATCAACTAATCGCATTTGTTAAATTGTTTTAATCATAAGAGTTTTGAATGTTGAATCTGTTTGGCATCAAGTGTTTGTCTCGTTCTGACCATGAAGAAAAGTTTAACCTTCTGGTGTCTTCAGTTTTCACTCAGGAGCAGAAATCTGCCTGTAAACCTGAAAGAAATAACGATTGGACATTTATCCTGATATTTATCGACATCGAATGATATGAAATGTTTTGGCCACGTCGCCCCGAGTGTCCCCACTAACGGGTGGCGATGGCCCAGTGGATAAGACACATGCCTGTGGTGTGAGACTGTGACCCGTCCAGCAGAGCGTCCCTGAGCAGGACACTTAACCCCTCGTTGCTCCAGAGGCCTCTGACATAAACAGCAACTGTAAGTCGCTTTGGATAAAAGCTAAAATGAATAAATGTAAAATCTGAGTCAGCTGTTAGCTGTTAGCTGTTAGCATGGATCACAGACAAGTCAAGGCGTCCATCATGCAGAGGGAGCAGGAGATTTACTGAACCCTCACGTTTATTTTTCCTTGTTTCAGCTTTAACATTTATCTTCCAGATCAGCCTGAACTCGTCTGCTTCGTATTACAGTTGAGGTTTTTTCTCAAACTGTTCAGCCTGCAGGGGGCGCCACACACGAGATCTATGGAGATTTGGGTTCAGCAGGTAACTTTTAAACAGAGGCGGCGCAGCTAAGTGTTTTAATCAACTCATGAACAAACTGTTTCTCCTTCTGCTCAGATATTTTCACTTTTATCTGACAGCTTCAGATTTTTACACACGAAGCGTTTAGAAAGTTTGGTTATAAATTAAACTGCAACAGTTTGTTCAGCTGGTCCATCAGCAAACAGTCATTTTTCATGTAAAAACATTTAATTTTGATTATTTGAATCAGTTTGAGGTTTAAGTTGCCAGAACAAACAGGGTGAAGGAGTCTCTCTGAGTCACTGCCACAACATTTCTCTCTGTTTTCAGAAGGTTTCAATCCATTAATGTGGAAAATAATCAGCTGATTGATCCAGAATGGAAAGAATCAGCAGCTGCAGTCTGAGACTAAAACATTCAACCTGATTCACACGAGGAACAAAGATCGAATCGCAGGAGGTTTTTCTTTCTGCTGTATTCTTATATTTACATGTTTTTACTGTAGTAACGTTTTACTTTTACTTGTGAAGTATTAGTACTTTTAGAATCCACCGCGCGACAAAAACAACCAACCAGAGGCAGGAGGAGAAACGCGGCGCTGACTGAGGAAAATATGTAACGACGTATTAAGTTAATCTAAAAACAGGTTTCCATGACAACTCTGTGTGTCAGCTGACTTCATTAACCGTCAGTGTCGGGAGGGTAAACGCGCACGTTAGCGTCACTGCTGTGAACGAGCGAAGAACCTCGACCTGCTGCAGCTGGGCCTACCTTGAGTTTCCTCCTGGCGTTGAACTTCTTCAGGCACTCCACCGTCTCCTGTCTGTGCATACAGGACGCCACTGTGGAGCGATGCTGGGAGGAAGACCACACGTCATCATCATCATCACGAGAAACTCTGATTACACACAGTAATAAAACATGTACACACACAGAGTACATTTATGTATATTTATACACATAACAGCGTCTCACAGAGATCCAGGGGTGTTTGAGCGCCTCGGCTGCTGTGATCCGTTTGGACGGGTTGATGGTCAACATCTTATTAATGAGATCTTTGGCTTCAGGAGTCACTGTGTCCCATTCAGGAGAGGGAAACTACAGGGGGGGAGGAGGAGGAAGAGTCAGGGGGGGAAGAGGAAGAGTGGGGAGGAGGAGGAGGAGTCAGGGGGGGAGGAGGAGGAAGAATGGGGAGGAGGAGGAGGAAGAGTAAGGGGGGCAGGAGGAGGAGGAAGAGTGGGGGCAGGAGGAGGAGGAGGAGGAAGAGTGGGGGGGCGAGTGGGGGGCAAGAGGAAGAGGAAGAGTCGGGGGGGAGGAGGAGGAAGAGTGGGGAGGAGGAGGAGGAAGAGTAAGGGGGAGGAGGAGGAGAAGGAAGAGTGGGGGGCAGGAGGAGGAGGAGGAGGAAGAGTGGGGGGGCGAGTGGGGGCAGGAGGAAGAGGAAGAGTCGGGGGGGAGGAGGAGGAAGAGTGGGGAGGAGGAGGAAGAGTAAGGGGGGGAGGAGGAGGAGAAGGAAGAGTGGGGGGCAGGAGGAGGAGGAGGAGGAAGAGTGGGGGGGGCGAGTGGGGGGCAGGAGGAGGAGGAAGAGTCGGGGGGGAGGAGGCGGAAGAATGGGGGGGAGGAGGAGGAAGAGCAAGGGGGGGAGGAGGAGGAGGAGGAAGAGTGGGGGGGAGAAAAGAGGAGTTAAGGAGAGAAGCAAAGAGTCATGTGACTGAGGTGAGGGGTCATGTGACCTACATCATAAGCTCCAGCTTTGATTTGCTGGTAGAGACGATGTTGATCTTCATCCCAGAACGGAGGATAACCGACCAATAGGATGTAGAGAATCACACCTGAGAGAGAGAGAGACACACCTGAGAGAGCGAGGACACAAGGAAAGGAAACGAGGGGAGGAAACAAGGAGACAGTAGAGAGGAATCTGACCACAGGCCCAGAGGTCGACGGCCTTCCCGTACGGGTCCTTCCTCAGAACCTCTGGAGACAGGTAGCCGGGGGTCCCCGCAAAGCCTGTAAACACACACACACACACACACAGAAATGTGATTAAAGCACATAACAGATTAAATAAAGTTTATTATAACAAAAAAACACCAAAGTCAAATTAAATAAAGTAAAATCAAAATATAACAACTAAAGTTAAATGAAAGACTCGGAGGATAAAAGTACAGCTACAGACTGTAGAATCACTGTAGTACTGAGTACTAATACTGCAGTACTACTACAGTATTAGTATCTGCCTCACCAAACCAGGCCTGCTGGTCTCCCTCCACCTCGATGGCGAGGCCGAAGTCGGCCAGTTTCACCGCCGCTCCTTTAGACTTCGAGGCCAGCAGCAGGTTCTCTGGCTGCAGACACAGGACAGATGCTACCATGCTAACGCTGCCCATTGCTTTACAGGAGAGATGCTAACATGCTAACGCTGCCCATTGCTTTACAGGAGAGATGCTAACATGCTAACACTGATGCTAACATTCTAAAGCTGCCCATTGCTTTACAGGAGAAATGCTAACATGCTAACACTGATGCTAACAGGCTAATGCTGCCCACTGCTTTACAGGAGAGATGCTAACACTGATGCTAACATGCTGACGCTGCCCATTGCTTTACAGGAGAGATGCTAACATGCTAACGCTGCCCATTGCTTTACAGGAGAGATGCTGACATGCTAACACTGATGCTAACATGCTAACGCTGCCCATTGCTTTACAGGAGAGATGTTAACATGCTAGCACTACCTGCCGCTTTACAGGAGAGATGCTAACATGCTGATGCTGCCTGTCACTTTACAGGAGAGGTGCTAACATGCTAACGCTGCCCATTGCTTTACAGGAGAGATTCTAACATGCTAACACTACCTGGCGCTTTACAGGAGAGATGCTAACATGCTAATGCTGCCTGTCACTTTACAGGAGAGATGCTAACATGCTAACACTACCTGGCGCTTTACAGGAGAGATGCTAACATGCTAATGCTGCCTGTCACTTTACAGGAGAGATGCTAACACCCTCCCCCCAGTCAGAGGACATGAAGCTGAAGGGACCAGGGTCTAAATTTAGTTCTAGGGTCTTTATTTTACCCCCAAAGAGTCCCTGCTCGGGGGGTAGTACTTTCCCAAAGTACTGGTACTTTGGGGGGGGCGGGGCTTGCCTTGCAGTGAACTTCTGAATGTGCGAGTAGAGGCTACTGGCTTTAACTGGAGGATGGCGGCTGTTTTTCTCTTCTTTTCCGCCGTTGTTTGCAAACCAATAAATCACAACCAGCAGTCAGAGAGCCGCACGAGTCTCGCCTACGTTTTACTCCCACAAAAAGCTGCTTTAATGGTCAAACACAGCCTGTAGTTTTTCTTTATATTCAGTAAAATCCGATGTTCGTTTATAAATGTTGCTCATGGATCGTGGTTACAAGTAATGATGCCTGTGCATCGCTGTGACGGCGTGCAGGCCTACAGTCTACGCCAGCTGGTTAATCTGCCTGAACTTTTCAGGTCTTTAGACCGCGGTGGAAACGCACAACAGAGGCCTGAAGGAACCTTTTAGTTCCTCGGAAATAGACCTGGGGAGTGAAAAGTCCCGGGTACTTTTGGTGGAACCGCGGCTGTAGAGACAAAGCTCGCATGTGCAGCTCCAAACAAAGATCTTATTAACTGAACCGTTTCACAACCTTAACAGCTAGTTTTATTTTGAAAGTGTAACCAGACGTTGCATATTTGTTCTTGCCAACTTGACTTTGTCGCCTGATGCCTCTCTGCTGCACTGGCTCACATGTTCCCTCATCACCACGAAAACTGTAGTTTGTTCTGACTCAGAGCCACATTCACCGTCCTGCTTCCCCAAACACTCACTACAGGACCACACGTGGATCCATCCGCCGCTGAAAGTAGTCCCTCCTGTTTGTCTGATAGAAACTACAGCAGGCAGCTGAACCTTTTTAAACATGCAAACATTTATCTGAGTTTTTAAAGATTTAGTCTTCAGGAGGACCCAGTGTGCTCGCAGCTGGCAGCCACAGACAGGAAGTCACATAAAGAACATTGTTGGTTTGAGTTTGCACATGAGTTATACCTTCAGGTCCCGGTGGACCACGCCCATCTGGTGACAGTGCAGCACCGCCTCCAGGATCTGCTGGATGCAGTGACTGTTGACAGAGAGGTCAGAGGTCAGGGGTCAGGGGTCATGTGTCTCTGATGTGATGAAGTGCTGAGCGGTGGATTTAATTAAGAAGAACAGAAGCTCAGCTCTGCTAGAAGAACCAGAAAAGAGGACTGTGGCGATGAGCAGATGGATTTATTGATGTTTCCTACCTGGCGTCAGCTTCACTGTAATATTCTCTGGCTACAATATCTTCAAATAGCTCTCCACCTGTGACCCTGAGAGAGGAAACATAATGAACAAACACATCAACTCTGTGAAGATCGCAGTGGAACGTGACAATAAGAAATAACAGCATGTAACATAATATTACAACATAAAATGAAATAATACAACATAACAAAGCAATATGACATCTCAATGTGATGAAGAGCAGTAGAAAATAAATAACACGCTGATAAAACCATGTGATGTACTGCGACTTTAAATTGAACCACAAAACAACATGTGACACATGTTGTTCAAAATAAATTATTCCAGCTATGACATCACCTTGACAAAGTGTAATAGAGAGCCTAAGTCCCGCCCCTTCCGGTGGACCGCCATGGGACCTAATTTCGGAAAAATATTGTACGGTAGTCAACGTCAAGAGACAACTAATATTTTGATCCCGTTTGAATTGAGCCCTGAATGACACACATGATGTTTGTCAATTTAAAAGATACATTTAGTCAAGAAAGTCACAGTTTGATGTAAAACTGTTCAGGTAACAGACAGAAAGCTAACGTGACTGAAGCTAACGTTACTGAAGCTAACGTTACTGAAGCTAATGTTACTGAAGCTAACGTTACTGAAGTTAACGTGACTGAAGCTAACATGACTGAAGCTAACGTTAGTGAAGCTAACGTTAGTGAAGCTAACGTTAGTAAAGCTAACGTTACTGAAGCTAACGTTACTGAAGCTAACGTTACTGAAGTTAACATGACTGAAGCTAACGTTACTGAAGCTAACGTTACTGAAGCTAACTTCTAACAGGATAAAAAGATAGGTTGACATTTTTTCCGAAATATGGTCCCATTGGCCTGGAAACGAAAGCGAATGACTCTCTATAAAACAGTACTTAACCAAAAGCAACAACAAACAGGATGTGACATCACAGATATGTAGCATACAGCATATCTCTGTGCATTCAAGTGGTGTCGGAATAATTGGAAATTTCAACAACAGAAAGTTTGATAAACGTTTGATGCACGAGTAGAAACGTGGCTGATGGTTAGAAACGTTGATTAATCACGTACTGCATGTACGTATTTGCTAAAGTGTAATTTGTAATGTGGTATTAGGTTATAACGGTTAGTTTGCTGTCTGTGTGGAGGGACAGAGTTTAAGTATTTCTTAGCAGGTAATGCACTGGTACAGTAACAACAACAGTCCAACACATCTTTGTTGTGACGTCCATGTTGTTTCCACCTCAGAAGAATTAGGGACATGCAGCAGGTGAACGCACCGATGAAAACAGAAGAGAACTCACAGGTCAAAGATGAGGTAATGGTGCAACTCCTCTGAAATGCTGTCATGTAGCCGAACTGGAAGGAAGAAGGAGAGAAAAGTTTGTTGAGCAGGTGTTCGACTGTAAAGGGCCGACTGCTGGCTAGCCGCTTAGCAAAGATGCTAGGAGCTAGGCTAGCAGTTTCCCCCTGCTTTCAGTCTTTGTGCTAAGCTAGGCTAAACTTGTCCTCCAGCCATCCGACACAGAGAAGAACAGAATGGTTTTACTTCATCAGAGCTGTGTGTTGTACTTTAATACTACACACAGTACTCTGTAGATCAGACGTCACCCGTTCATAAGTTACTAGCAACCATTTACAATTTAGTAGTCACTATACACATTAGTGACTAATTTTAAGTTTCTATTAACTATTTAATCAGTAAGATACTTGTAATATATAAACAGTTACTAGTAACTAATGAACAGGTGATACCTGAACTGCAGAGCTACACAGACGTAAACTGTTAAAGTAAAACTGGAAACACATCATCTTTACGTCACAGACACAAGGTAGAAACACAGAAGTGAGTCTTTGTTTTTTATTTTACTTCATAAGTTATTCAAGTTGTTTTTTCAGTTGATACTTGACTTGTCACAGTACTTCTACATGAGTACTTGTTTTCTGGCTGTTAACAAGTACTTTTGCCTTCAGTTAATTTTGCTTATTTTGCTTTTGTACTTTTTTACTGAATTATCTGTTTGTTTGCATATTAAAAACTACATTTATTACAGAAGATATGACTTGTGCACAAAGATGCTCACAAACAGACTTTTACCTGCAAATATATATATATATATATAATATACAAGAATTTACTGTAACGCTGCAGAATTATACTGAATACAAATAATATGGGACAGAAAGATTAATCGACATGTCTCTAAACTATAGATATCTATATATTTTTATATATGATTATATTCTGGGGACAAGAGGAAACGCGAGGACAGTAACAATATGGATTCAGTTCATTTAGTCCTGAAAACCACATGAAGCAGCAAAACGCAGCTAATTAATACTGATTATTGATTAATACTGATTACATTTAATGATTGATGCAGAGCGGCAGTGAGACACTAGACACAGATCAAATAAAACGATCACCATGTTGATCTGGCTCAACACTTCAGGGTTATTTTATTAAGACGTGGACGGTTTCTGCTCTGAATGCAGAAGCTCTGCTGCTCGCTGCATAGATTGTATAATGTGATATATAACAAGAGGAAGGAGAAGCTGCTGCCCACACACACACACACACACTCGTACCTGTGTGAAAGCACTCAGAAAGAAATAATCAGGTTTTTCTCTTGAAACACTCCCACACAGCCCAGCAGCGGGATTTCATCTGAGTGTGTGTGTGTAGGAGGAACGAGGGTTTTGATGCCTTCACCTAAGGACACTGTTGCCTAGAAACACACACACAGCGTTACGTAACGCTCCTCGGGATCTGCGGCGCCGGCCTACACAGAGCTCTGATTGGAGGCCCGGTTCGGCTGCAGCCCTCTGATTGGCTGGCTGGCTCCACGTGAGGTTCATGTTTGAACATCTGTCCGACTCCGTTTGTTTCCACTTCATCAAAGTTTATTTTTTTGGTAACTGGGATCTGTCTGTCTGATTCCACTCTTCACGTAGGGCTTTAATTGTGAAGGAGCCACAGGAAGTGTAATTTAACTGGATTCGTTAGCTTCTAAAGGGGCGGGGCCACATCTACTCAGAAAGAAGTATTTCTAAGAGTACTATAGTATGTCTGTGGCAGGTGTCGGTGACACGTTTGACTGGAGGAAAAGTTACTGTGAATAAAAGTTTGCTGCACTTCCGAGGATGAAGGGTATTGTTATTGTCCCCAAGGGGCCATTTGTGGTTCACTCAGCAGTCATCACCCAAACATCAAACAAGCGATGTACAAATACGTCTGTTTGTCCTGCATGATGGCGTTAAACAGAGGAAGGCTCCCATCAGCCAGGACTGAGCGGATATAAATAACAAACATTATTATTAATATCATCATATTTGAAGCTAATTAGAGGTAATTAGAAGCTGAGAGGCTGATAAATGAAGTGCTGATAATATTTCTGTAATGTTTATTATACATAGAGTATTTTTATTGTGCATTAATAGTACTTTTACTTCAGCAGTAGTAGTAGTGTGCATTCCTTGCTGCTCTGTGATCAGAGATCAGAGAGGAGGAGGAAGGAAAACCTCTCTGCTCTCAGTCGTCTCCCTGGAGATAACTGCTCCTCATCAATTAGTAACCACACTCTGGTTGCCGTTAGTAACGCCAACCGCACCATAATTAATCATCATCCTCATCCTCATCACCACCACCATCACCATCATCTAGAATGAGTAGTGGTAGTAATAACTGCAGCGGTAGTAGTAACCTCAGTACTAACAGTAGTATCTGCAGTACCTGTAGTACATGTAGTAGTACTCACCGATGTTTGGGTGCTTCAATAAACGACAGATTCGAGCTTCACGGTCTAACTTCTGATGATCTGAGAACAAACAAACACATTGATCAGAGTTATTGATCCGGTATTGATACAGACAGTCAGGGTAGAGGTTCTGATAATAACCAATCAGAGTCATGGCAGCCAGACGCCTTCAGACATGATGACAGAAAGAAGCTAACAAACAGCTAACATTAGCATATATGCTAAACTAGCATTAGCTTAAGGAGATGTTACACTAAGGTGACCAGATTTCTGAAACAAAAACTGGGGACGTTTTTGGTTTGGTGGTCAGTATGTCATTAAAAAATATGTCATCATGAAATAAAAAAGTTTTATAATCTGTCAGATATAACTCTTCTGAATTAAATGATGTCATGTTGAGGCAGAAACGACCTTTTAGTCAATAAGTAGAAGCTGCAATCACTTTCTGGTAAGTGGAATAATGCATTTTATGTGTGTTTGGCCATTTAAAGGTATTTCAACAGGTAAAAAGGACCGGATTGGTTGGTACACAGCAAGTTAAATAATGTAGAGTCATAAGGATAATTGCAAAAGAGATCTTGTCTATATTTTATTTATAACTCAGCAGTAAGTCATGTTAATTATAGGCTACAGTCTGTTTTCCAAATATGAACAAGGATATTAGACATATAGGCCTATCAAACACATCATCCATCAGCAGCAACAGGCTACAATTATTGTCTATAATCACATAAATGTCATGCTTGGTTATGATAAACACTTATTTGGCCACAATTGTGATTATTCTGTTAAAAGAAACGTTAAAAGTAGGCCTATCACAAAGACATATCTTTGCTGTTACCACGGAGATAAAGTGTTAAAGTTTATTTGGAAGTTATGTCTCTGTTTGATCCAGATAAAAGCAGCTGCAGACGTAGAGAGACTGAGCGATACAGCTTTAACATGCTGCGCACGCTTCCGCGGACGGTAATCAGTTTTCAGCACAACACCTGTACGCTCTGCTGTCCAGTCTTTCTGGCACGTAAAATCTGATTTCAGGTCTGTTAACACCTTATACAGTCTATGAATAACACACTGTTAAAAACAGGGACATTTCCAGGGACAGCTCCAGATGGGGTCAGACCCTATGTTACACTTCCTGTGTGTACTAGGCAGTATGCAGTACATACCAACTGAGTATGTAGTGGGCAGTGTGTAGTACATACTGAGTATGTAGTTGGCAGTGTGTAGTACATACTGAGTATGTAGTTGGCAGAGTGTAGTACATACTGAGTATGTAGTTGGCAGTGTGTAGTACATACTGAGTATGTAGTTGGCAGAGTGCAGTGCATACTGAGTATGCAGTAGCAGTACATTAGTATGTGATTTGCAGCCCAGGTGTGTGATGAATCTGCCTTCAGTGAGGAGATTTTCAAAGTGAATAATTCCAACAGTATCATCTGCAGGACAGATACAGCCGGGTTTGTTTTCTGACTGTTCACAAGAGAGAAGGTCTGATTTAATAAGAAGGTTGATTTCTTCGTCTGAGTCTCGGATCAATAAACTTAATGAGCAGCAGCCAGTGGTTAAAGGTTTCTTCTTTGCCCTGGCCTCTCAGGCTACATACAGGCTGAAACCCTGCAGACACGACTCAGGGCTGAAGAAAGGCACCTGCCAACTAACGCTTTAAAAAAAAAAAAAGTGTTTAATCTATACTTTGTATTTACAGTTAAATCAACGACAGACAGCCTTCACTGAGCAGCTCACATCCTCATCTTGTAAAGTTTCCCTCTAACACACGGAAACTCCAAGCCGAAGGTTAACATTTACACACTCTGGAAACGTGTTGGAAAAGCTCAGGTTTTAAAGGAGATTATGTTGTTTGGACAGAAGAAAAAAAAAATTACACCTTTTAAAACTTAATCGACTTCATGTGGACGTAGAGGAGAGCTTTAGTGACCCATGCAGCCATCAGTCAACAGTAACAACAATGAATAAAAAATGTCAATATATACAATATATTGTATATGCAGAAGAGATGAAGACATCAGACAGAAGAGATGAAGATATTAGACAGAAGAGATGAAGACATCAGACAGAAGAGATGAAGATATTAGACAGAAGAGATGAAGACAGATAGAAGAGATGAAGACATTAGACAGAAGATATAAAGACATCAGACAGAAGAGATAAAGACAGACAGAAGAGATGAAGACATCAGTCAGTAAAGATGAAGACATCAGACAGAAGAGACGAAGATATCAGTCAGAAGACATGAAGATAGATAGTAGAGATGAAGACATCAGACAGAAGAGATGAAGATATCAGTCAGAAGAGATGAAGACAGATAGTAGAGATGAAGACAGATAGTAGAGATGAAGACAGATAGTAGAGATGAAGACATCGAACAGAAGAGATAAAGACATCAGTCAGAAGAGATAAAGACAGACAGAAGAGATGTGGACATCAGACAGAAGAGATGAAGACAGACAGAAAAGATGAAGACTTTAGACAGAAGAGATAAAGACATCAGACAGAAGAGATGAAGACAGATAGAAGAGATGAAGACATTAGACAGAATAGATGAAGACATTAGACAGAAGAGATAAAGACATCAGACAGAAGAGATGAAGACAGATAGAAGAGATAAAGACAGTCAGAAGAGATAAAGACAGACAGAAGAGATGTGGACATCAGACAGAAGAGATGAAGACAGACAGAAAAGATGAAGACTTTAGACAGAAGAGATAAAGACATCAGACAGAAGAGATGAAGGCAGATAGAAGAGATGAAGACATCAGACAGAAGAGATGAAGATATCAGACAGAAGAGATGAAGATATCAGTCAGTAAAGATGAAGACAGACAGACAGACAGACAAAAGAGATGAAGAAAGTCATAAGAAATAAAGACATCAGTTTGAAGAGATGAGGACAGACAGACAGAAAAGATGAAAACAGTCAGACGAGATGAAGAAAGACAGAAGAGATAAAGACATCGTACAGAAGAGATGAAGACGTCAGAAAAGATGAAGATGGATAGACAGAAGAGATAAGAAAGACAGAAGAGATGAAGATATCAGTCAGAAGAAATGAAGACAGAAAAGATAAAGACATCAGAAGAGATTAGGACATCAGACAGAAGAGATGAAGACAGACAGACAGAAGAGATGAAGACATCAGTCAGAAGAGATGAAGACATCAGTCAGACGAGACGAAGATATCAGTCAGAAGACATGAAGATCGATAGTAGAGATGAAGACAGATAGAAGAGATGAAGACATCAGACAGAAGAGATAAAGACAGACAGAAGAGATGTAGACATCAGTCAGTAAAGATGAAGACATCAGTCAGTAAAGATGAAGACATCAGACAGAAGAGACGAAGATATCAGTCAGAAGACATGAAGATAGATAGTAGAGATAAAGACAGATAGAAGAGATAAAGACATCAGACAGAAGAGATGAAGACAGATAGAAGAGATGAAGACATCGAACAGAAGAGATAAAGACATCACTCAGAAGAGATAAAGACAGACAGAAGAGATGTGGACATCAGTCAGAAGAGATGAAGACAGATAGAAGAGATGACAACATCAGACAGAAGAGAGGAAGATATTGGTCAGAAGAGATGAAGACAGATAGAAAAGATAAAGACATCAGACAGAAAAGATGAAGACAGAAAAGATAAAAACATCAGACAGAAGAGATAAAGACATCAGAAGAGGTGAAGAGATCAGACAGACGAGATGAAGATATCGGTCAGAAGAGATGAAGACAGATAGAAGAGATGAAGACATCAATCAAAACAGATAAAAAGACATCAGAAAAGATGAAGACGTCAGAAGAGATGAAGACGGACAGAAGAGATAGAGACATCGAACAGAAGAGATGAAGACGTCAGAAAAGATGAAGACATCAGACAGAAGAGATGAAGATATCGGTCAGAAGAGATGAAGACAGATAGAAGAGATGAAGACATCAATCAAAACAGATAAAAAGACATCACAAACGATGAAGACGTCAGAAGAGATGAAGACAGACAGAAGAGATAAAGACATCAGTCAGAAGAGATGAAGACAGACAGAAGAGATGAAGACATCAGACAGAAGAGATAAAACCATCAGTCAGAAAAGATGAAGACAGACACACAGAAGAGATGAAGACAGACACACAGAAGAGATGAATATATCAGACAGAAAAGATGAAGACAGACACACAGAAGAGATGAAGAGACATCAGACAGAGCAGAGAGCTCTTCTGTAGAACAGGAAGGAGAAGTCTGTTTCAGTCTCTATTTTCTGTGGCCAGCTGCTGTTGTTCTTCATTATGTTCTGACTCTAAACCACAACCATCCAAAACTACAAAACCCCTCTGAACTCAGCTCAGTTCAGCCTCTCTGTTCATCTCCAACAGTGCTGCAGTGACTGATCCGAGACCAGCCGTTGCTCAGTTTCAGCTGATTGGACAGCTGAGACTCGGCGAGGTGACGAGTGACCGGCAGCCAAAAGAGAATCTGCCGAGGAAGGTTTCCAACCGAGCAGCAGCTCTGAAGCTCAACACATACACATTTCAGACATCAGAGCTGAAAACAGATCTGAGCAGCGAAATATCACCGTGTGAACGTCGCAGGAATGAGACGAGTCAAAGAGCTGCTGCAGAGACGTTCTGCTGCAGGTCGGGGAAACTCTTCTTCCCCAGGAAATCAAACATACATCACACATGTCTGTTTCAGACATCTCTGTGGGGACATCTCACTGACATCCCTCACCTTAACCGTCGCAGCTACATGCCAAACCCCTCACCTTAACATAGTCTCCACCCTCACAAAGCAGTCTCCACCCGCTCAGGTTCAAGTCCCCACTGAGATATAAGAACATGAAACACACACTGTGCCACAAAGTAAACACAGACGGAGGCAGGCTGCTGGTTTAAAGAACATTTGATGGCTTCAGCTCCAGATTTCCAATACAAACTGGTCAGATGGCGTTTGACTCATAGAAAGTCGGTCACCATCAGTGATACTGGACACTACCAGCAGAGCTGGATGAAGTATTTTATCATATACTTTAGTACCAATAACAACTTCTAAAATCCCTCCATTACAAGTGAAAGTACTGCATCACTTAGTAAGTAAGTAAAGTCCAAAAAGTACTAATATTATTAAGAATGTAAGAATAGTTAAAACAGAATAATGACCACTGCAGCCTGTAGGGGGCGCTTTACTCTGACAGTCTGGTTGAAATATGAGCAGACTTCCTGTTACAGACCAGGATGATGTCATGAAATCAGCCGTTTCAGTTCCTCATGTTCATACTGATAAAAGCTAAGCTAAGATCTATCATTTCCATTGTGAGACCAAAACAACATCGTTAAACTTGAATTAAAACTCAAACATGAGCAGAGCCGGAGGCTGCAGCGCTGCGGAGGGAATATTATGGGATAAGATGTGATTTGTGGCTCGTTAGAGCTGAAGATGTGGAGGAGGTGATTTGGACTTTATGAGGGTGTGAAGAAGAAGACGTAGTCCTGGTTCTGCTGTTGGTGTTTATTATTGAGCCAGCACACCCTCAGGCTATAATTATCACTATCATTATTATTATTATTATTATTATGGGATGTGTTTAGAGCTGAAACTTTAAATCAAATAACTGGTCGCACAGAAATTAATTAGCAACTATTTTGCAACTGATCAATTAAAACCTGGTTTCAGATTTTCTCGTTTTCTTTATTGTAAAGGTTAAAATATGAATATTTTTGGCACTTGAAGGCGTCAGTTTGGACGGACATATTAAAGACAAGTCAATCATGAGAACAATCAACAGATTAATCAGTAATGAAAAGCGAACGGATACACAGGGCGTATTTAGTAATTCTTTAGAGCTCGATAGTGAAGGCTACAGAGTGAACTCAGAACGAGACTAAAAACAATCGCTCGTCCTCCCTTACGTTATAATCTGTGTTATTATTTATATTATAATGATGATGATGTAACAGTGTTGGTAACATGAGTTCCTGCAGTGGCGTTACACACTGATATGTCAACTTTGCAAGGTGTTGCTAAGCAACCACAGGAAATCTCAAAACCAGAATAGAGATAAAAAAGATGGAGAGAGAGGGGGAGAGAGAGAGCATGCATCCTGCAGGTGCAGAGAAAAACACTAAATAATCTGTGCAGAGCAGAACTCGGCCCAAACCCTCTCTCCCTACAAAACCAGAAATGATCAATAAAGCAGTTAACCCCCAGACAGACCATCACAGAGCCATGACACACCAGGACTCCCCTCAGCCAGCTGGTCCTGAGGCAGAAACAAACGTCCAACAGCCTCAGAACAGCAACACAAACTCAAGCAGACCAAACCACATTATCAACAAGCAAAAACAAAAATATCTTGAATACTGGAAAGAAACGACCAAAACATCTGGGCCTAAAAAGAGAATTCACACTGAGCACAATAAAATGTCCTAAACTAAGAAACAGGCGGACAACAGACAGACTGGGTGACCACAGCCTGGACATAGACAGAGCTGGCTACCAGGAGAGGAGAGACTCAGAGGACAGGTAGAGACTCAGAGGACAGGTAGAACCTCAGAGGACAGGTAGAGACAGACGACAGGTAGAGACTCTGAGGACAGGTAGAGACTCAGAGGACAGGTAGAGACTCAGAGGACAGTAGAGACTCAGAGGACAGGTAGAACCTCAGAGGACAGGTAGAGACTCAGAGGACAGGTAGAACCTCAGAGGTCAGGTAGAGACTCAGAGGACAGGTAGAGACTCTGAGGACAGGTAGAACCTCAGAGGACAGGTAGAGACTCAGAGGACAGGTAGAGACAGACGACAGGTAGATACTCTGAGGACAGGTAGAGATTCAGAGGACAGGTAGAGACAGAGCTGCACTTTCTACCCTAACATCCTAAATACCAAACCTTAGCAGAAACTCCCCGACTGCCCGGGAGAACATGGATCTGCTCAGAACACCAACCAAGGACAACCAGAGGAAACTCAGACTGAGACAGAAGAGAAATGATGGCAGGTAATTTTACATTATTATTAGTTTTTTTTTTATATGAATTACTGTTCTTTGGAAAAATGCAGCTGCTCCTAAAAAAGCAAGACAAGCTAATGATAATGATAATCTTTCCATGTGACAACACTGAAGAAATGACCCTTTGCTCCAGTGTAAAGTAGAGAGTCTACAGCTTGTATAACAGTGTAAATCTGCTGTCCCCTCAAAATAACACATCACACAGCCATTAATGTCTAAACCGCTGGCAACAAAAGTGAGGACACCCCTAAGTGAAAATGTCCAAATTGGACCCAAAGTGTCAATATTTTGTGTGGCCACCATTATTTTCCAGCGCTGCCTTAACCCTCTTGGGCCTGGAGTTCACCAGAGCTTCACAGGTTCACAGGACGACATCACGGAGCTGGTGGATGTTAGAGACCTTGCGCTCCTCCACCTTCTGTTTGAGGAGCCCCACAGATGCTCAGTAGGGTTCAGGTCTGGAGACATGCTCGGCCAGTCCGTCACCTTTACCCTCAGCTTCTTTAGCGAGGCAGCGGTCGTCTTGGAGGTGTGTTTGGGGTAGTTATCATGTTGGAATACTGCCCTGCAGCCCAGTCTCTGAAGGGAGGGGATCCTGCTCTGCTTCAGTATGTCACAGTACATGTTGGCATTCATGGTTCCCTCGGTGAACTGTAGCTCCCCAGTGCCGGCAGCACTCATGCAGCCCCAGACCAGGACACTCCCACCACCATGCTGGACTATAGGCAGGACGCACTTGTCTTTGTCCTCCTCACCTGGTTGCCGCCACACACGCTTGACACCATCTGTACCAAATAAGTTTGTCTTGGTCTCATCAGACCGCAGGACCTGGTTCCAGTAGTCCATGTCCTCAGTCTGCTGGTCTTCAGCAAACTGTTTGCAGCTTTCTTGTGCATCATCTTCAGAAGAGGCTTCCTTCTGGGTCGACAGCCATGCAGAACAGTTTGATGCAGTGTGCAGCGTATGGTCTGAGCCCTGACAGGCCGACCCCCCACCCCTTCAACCTCTGCAGCAATGCTGGCAGCACTCAGACATCTGTTTCCCAAAGACAACCTCTGGATATGACGCTGAGCACAAGCACTCAGCTGCTTTGGTCGACCATGACGAGGCCTGTTCTGAGTGGACCCTGTCCTAGTGGACTGCCGTGCTACAGCTCAGTTTCAGGGTCTTGGCGGTCTTCTTACAGCCTCGGCTTATTGGGCCCAGTTTGGACATTTTCACTTAGGGGTGTCCTCACTTTTGTTGCCAGCGGTTTAGACATTAATGGCTGTGTGATGTGTTATTTTGAGGGGACAGCAAATTTACACTGTTCTACAAGCTGGACACTCACTACTTTCCACTGGAGCAAAGGGTCAAAACATGTGTTGAAACATGAAAAGATAGAATCAATATTTAGGTGTTTTAGGATCGATCAAAGGTGAGTACACACGGATATTTTATATCTCACTGTAATTTGTAAAGCAGGTGTTGCATCACACGTCACCAGCACACCTGAAACCAGCAGAATGATGTGTGACGTTAACATTTGATGTGATGTCGTTGCCTCAGCTTGTGAGAAGCAGCAGTGAGTAGCAGACCCCAGGTGACCAAGTCCCACCTGCCAACAACGTGGGGATTCCTGCATGCGGTGTGTTTTCAGATCAGGTGGAAGGTCACCTGTTCTAAATGTGTTGTTACTGTCTGATGTGGCCCAGAGTGTCTGCAGGCCTCCTTCAGGTCCTCACCTCTGGCTGACAGTTTCTTGGTGTTGATGATCTTGGCAGCGTACTCCTGACCAGACAGCACCTTCACACAGCGACGCACCACAGAAAACGCTCCCCTGCAAACGCAACAGGAGGAACCAATCAGCTTGATTTACAAGAGAACACTTTGAACAGGAACCATGTCAGGTAATTACACGTTATCAGAGGACATCTGTCTGGGCTAAAGATGCTTTTCACATATTTATCACAGAACAGAAACTTTTGTTTTTTAGCAAAGTCTACTTATTTTGTTAAAAAACAAATTATGTGATATTTTCATTTTTTGTTTGTGACAAAAGATGAAAGAAGAAATGTTGATTTGATTTGTTGCTAAACATTATGAAGCTTCGATTAGCTGCATGTTCTCTTAAAAGTTAACTTACACAAATATGCTACAAGTTAGCTGCCTCTACTACCGGTACTCCTACTGGTGCTGCTGCCTCTACTACTGGTACCCATACTGGTGCTGCTGCCTCTACTACCGGTACTCCTACTGGTGCTGCTGCCTCTACTACTGGTACCCATACTGGTGCTGCTGCCTCTACTACCGGTACTCCTACTGGTGCTGCTGCCTCTACTACTGGTACCCATACTGGTGCTGCTGCCTCTACTACCGGTACTCCTACTGGTGCTGCTGCTTCTACTACCGGTACCCATACTGGTGCTGCTGCCTCTACTACCGGTACTCCTACTGGTGCTGCTGCTTCTACTACCGGTACTCCTACTGGTGCTGCTGCTTCTACTACCGGTACTCCTACTGGTACTGCTGCCTCTACTACCGGTACTCCTACTGGTGCTGCTGCCTCTACTACCGGTACTCCTACTGGTGCTGCTGCTTCTACTACCGGTACCCATACTGGTGCTGCTGCCTCTACTACCGGTACTCCTACTGGTGCTGCTGCTTCTACTACCGGTACTCCTACTGGTACTGCTGCCTCTACTACCGGTACTCCTACTGGTGCTGCTGCCTCTACTACCGGTACTCCTACTGGTGCAGCTGCCTCTACTACCGGTGCTCATACTGGTACAGCTGCTTCTACTACCGGTACTCCTACTGGTGCTGCTGCTTCTACTACCGGTACTCCTACTGGTGCTGCTGCCTCTACTACCGGTACTCCTACTGGTGCTGCTGCTTCTACTACCGGTACTCCTACTGGTGCTGCTGCCTCTACTACCGGTACTCATACTGGTACAGCTGCCTCTACAACAGGTACCCATACTGGTGCTGCTGCCTCTACTACCGGTACTCATACTGGTGCTGCTGCCTCTACTACCGGTACTCCTACTGGTGCTGCTGCTTCTACTACCGGTACCCATACTGGTGCAGCTGCCTCTACTACCGGTACTCATACTGGTGCTGCTGCCTCTACTACCGGTACTCCTACTGGTGCAGCTGCCTCTACAACAGGTACCCATACTGGTGCTGCTGCCTCTACTACCGGTACTCATACTGGTGCTGCTGCCTCTACTACCGGTACTCATACTGGTGCTGCTGCCTCTACTACCGGTACTCATACTGGTGCTGCTGCCTCTACTACCGGTACTCATACTGGTACTGCTGCCTCTACTACCGGTACTCATACTGGTACAGCTGCTTCTACTACCGGTACTCCTACTGGTGCTGCTGCTTCTACTACCGGTACTCCTACTGGTGCTGCTGCTTCTACTACCGGTACTCCTACTGGTGCTGCTGCCTCTACTACCGGTACTCATACTGGTATAGCTGCCTCTACTACCGGTACTCCTACTGGTGCTGCTGCTTCTACTACCGGTACTCATACTGGTGCTGCTGCCTCTACTACCGGTACCCATACTGGTGCTGCTGCCTCTACTACTGGTACTCATACTGGTGCTGCTGCCTCTACTACCGGTACTCATACTGGTGCTGCTGCCTCTACTACTGGTACTCATACTGGTGCTGCTGCCTCTACTACCGGTACTCATACTGGTACTGCTGCCTCTACTACTGGTACTAATACTGGTACTACAGGCCTGGTGATGTCACAGTGATGTCATCAGACTACAAACAAACGCAGGCGTGAAGTTTGAAAGACGTGGCTGTTTAGCAGGCAAGGAGGCTGTAATGAAAGACGCAGCATCCATGTGCATGATGGGAAATGTAGGATCCAGTGTTCCTGGAGATAAAATCAGGATGTCTTCACCTCTGCTGCTCAGGTTTAATTTGCTCTCTAGAAGATGACACTCCTTATTTTCCTGAACATATTCATCTCTGGAAGTGAAAGTGGTTTTGCAGAAAGAAGCTTTCTGTCTGTGTTTCTTATGAAAGCTGAGTTCTGCCACCCACCATCATATTATGTAAGAGACCTGGCATTATGTGTGTGTGTGTGTGTGTGTGTGTGTGTGTGTGTGTGTGTGTGTGTGTGTGTGTGTGTGTGTGTGTGTGTGTGTGTGTGTGTGTGTGTGTGTGTGTGTGTGTGTGTGTGTGTGTGAGTGTGTGAGTGTGTGTGAGTGTGTGTGTGGGCGGTGAGTGGGATGGGGTCAGAAAGGTGATACACTCATCCATCCATCTTGATCAGAGACTGATCAGCATCACAGTCAATAATGCATGAATGATCAGGTAAACCCGAATGCTTTCAGTGATGTGACATGTTCATTTATTTTATTAGTCTGGTCTGTATTAGTAACTGTTAATAATCATTTTTTATTTTATTCTACAGAAGAAAACACTTTTTATTAAAGGGACCTACCAGTAATAATTGAGTGCAATAGATACTGTATTTACTATGTTGTAATAATGAAATTGTAAAATAACAATTTCTACCTTTAAACCATCAATATAATTTAATAATTTAATTTAATTATTTGAATTATTATTATTATTACCGTAAATACAACAAATAAAAAAATATATAGAATATACTATAAGTAAAAAAGGTTAAATAAAACAACTAAATAAAATAATAATAAAACTCACTAATAATGATTAGAACTAATTAAATAATCTATATTAATAAATATAAAAATGTGCGTATATAATAGATATATATAATACATTAAACTTCAATAGAAAATATTCAGAAAAAAAATATATCACTTATATTTAATTTAATAAAATGAATAACAATTATAAGCAATCTAAATGTAAAGTCCATAAATTAAAAGCAAGATAATAAAGAATTCTACCATAAACAGTAATAATATTTAGAGTTGTGGTACTTAATAATTAAATACTACAAACAGCAGCGCAGTACTGATGATGATGATGATGATACTTACTTGCCCAGCTCCTCGTACATCTGATACTCTTCGGTGAAACGGGTGCAGATGACCGTTGCCATTGTGACCCGGGGGGGCGAGGGTCAGGGGGCTCGCTGTCTGTCTTCCTCTGAGGATGATGATGGTGGTGGTGAAGATGAAGGCCAACAGTGAGACCCGTCTGTCTGAAGGATGGAGGAGACAGAAAGAGGAGAAGAGGAAGAACAAGCAGAGAGATGGAGAGAGAGTTTCAGTTCTGTTTGATGGAGGAGGAGGAGGAGGAGGAAGAGGAGGAAGAAGAAGAAGAAGATGGAGGGGTGATGGAGAGAGCAGTGAGGAGAGCTGCGTCTCTCTGTCTCTCTGTCCTGATCTGTGGGAGAGAGACAAGAGTGACGCTTTCAGATGCTCCACCTGCCCGCCCACTCTCCCCCACCAGCCAATCACAGGCCAGGAAGCAGACACACACACACACACACACACACACACACACACACACAGGGTCGCCATGGTAACTGCATCCTCTCTGCCTGGAAAGTCAGACTGCAAACACACCGCCAGCTCCGAGAGATTATACCTAAAACTGCAATACTGCGTATATTACTGCTACTATAAGTACTGCAACTACTACTACTAGTGCTTCTGCTACTGAAGCTTGCAGTGCTGTTGTAGTTCTACCACGGAGTCCTTCCAGCTCGTGCGGTGAAACCCCTACAAGTGGTCCAGAACTCAGCAGCCCGTCTGGTTTCTGATCAGCCCAAAAGGACTCATGTCCCTCCGTTACTCAGTGACCTGAAAACTCCTGATAACACCTCTGACATCACTTCCTGTGCTCTTCTTCTTCTGTCTCCTCACAGTTCCCTTGGATTGATTGTCAGCTCTTACTTCTTCCCCTGGATATTTACCCCACTGATGCTGTACGTGCCACATAATGTACCACTGACTGCTACCATAGATTTCAGCATGGTGGAGGTCTTGGCCTCTGGGGGTCTACCATGGATTACTACCAAGGGGTGCTGCAATGAAGTACTACCATGGAGTACTCTGTCCCTGGAGGTCTCGGTCCCAGGAAGTCTGGGGCCCTAGAGGTGTTGGTACATGGAGGTCGGAGACCCCAGAGGTCTTGGAGGCAGTTGCCCCCCCAGCCCCTTAGGTTCCCTGTCCGAATGAAGGAATCTGATTTAACCATGAAGTCATTTCAGGATCAGGTCTCTGCTTCTGCCTGGTGGAAGTCAGGGTCCTGGTTTTGAATGTCTCTGGGTCTTTGGACCGTTGAAGATGGACTCTTTTCTTTACCTCTCCTTTTTCTTTCTGTCTATTTTTAGTCTGCCTGTCTCTGCGGGGACGAGTCTGTCTTTCTGCCACTCATATTTTCTGCTTGGTTTCCTCTTTTCGAGCCTCCTCCTCCTCCTCCTCTCTCCAGGGAGGAAGAGGAGGAGGAGGAGGAGTGGAGCAGAGCCGGCCGGTCAGCAGAGTTCAGACTGAGCTGCAAACGTCGAAGCGTCTCGTCTCTGCAGCTCAATCAAACTTCTGATGATAAACTCTGTAAAGACGCAGCGCCCCCTGCAGGCTGCAGAGCTCGTTACAGCTGAAGAGCCACTCAGCAGCTGGATCAGTTCACTTTAAGGGCTTTAAAAGTAACAGCTGGCTGATCAGAAGTGGAAGCAGCTTACTGGAACGCAAGACTGCACCCAAACCAGAAGCACTGGGGGCATCTGGAGCTCCGGGGTTACCTGGAGCAGCCGAGCTGATGGCATGCGGCGGGTTCCTGATTGGTTACCTCTGCAGCAGAGAGCAGCGGCGACACGATAGCAGCAGCTCTTTAAAACTGAGTGTCATTCAGAAATGCATCAGGTCCACTGAAGGTAGGAACGAAAGCCTTTGGCGTGAGAGACCCGGGTTCGACTCTCCGCTGTGACGCGCCCCCCAACGTGTCCCTGAGCAAGACACTTAACCCCCAGTTGCTCCAGAGGCGTGCGACCTCTGGGCAGCTGTCAGTCGCTTTGGATAAAAGCGTCAGGTAAATGAATAAATGTAATGTAGGAAAGCTGGGGGGGGGTATTAGAGGGTCGGTGCTAAAGGCAGGAGTGCAGATGTTCACAGCAGCAGCAGCTACCTTCACCAACATGAGGACCTCCTTCTGTTGCTGCAGACATTTCTAAAGGCTGATGTGACACCTTCCCTCGTACCTGTCGGAAAGCTCAGTTCTTTCATGGGGAAAGAAACTGTTCAGGAGTCTGAGGGTTCGGATCTTACCAGACCTGTACCTGGGTGGGATGAGTCCTGGATCGTGTTCTATACATGTCAGCGATAGAGGGCAGCTGTGTGTCGCTGCTGTGGCTTTTTCACAAGCGAGGAGGTTTTAAAGAGGTCATTTTCAGGTTCATCGTGTTCTTCAGGGGTTGCAGCAGAGCAGGTTCACACGGCTTCATTTTGACACCATATTTTTGTCAGACTGCACTTTGCTGCAGCTCCTTGTTTCACTCGGTGCGTCGAATGCTCCGGTTTAGCTGCCGAGTGAAGCATCTCACTTCTATAAGATCTTTGATGGGAGTTGCATTTGTGCAGTACCTAGGTAAGGACTACTAGCCAATCAGAAGCAGAGTAGGGCGGGTCCTGACAAGCCTGTAACCAGGGGCGAGTTCAGCCTCAAAACGGTCTGCAATGTTTTCAGACTGAACGTGTTTCTTTGAAATGTTGCGGGCTTGAAGGTTTGTTTTCTCCCGTCTGCTGGGCGTGTCAGAGGTTTTACTCACCTCGTCAGCGCAGTAAAAAAATCAGTGCGCTTCGGTTCAGCCGTACGTTTGATCCCGGAACAGGCAGAGCAACCAGTAACAGAGAAGTGAGTCATTAATCTGTAACACGTCTCTGCATCACAGTAACAGCTGTGCGTCCTCCGACTGCCCGCAGGGTTGAAGTTACCGTCTGTCCCCGTGTCTCAGGTCAGGATGGATTCTGGTGTTGCTCTGATTTACTTTCTGCTTCATTAGTGTGAGAAGTTGAGCTCAGCAGCAGCTGAAACATCTGGTGAATCTTTCATGGTGCAGCAGATTAACTCACTCTGCCGTCAACGACAATGTTGTTAAACTAAAATGGAAATACGGTTTGACGAGTCGCTCCGCACGTTCTAGATTTATGTCAGCGGGTCACAGATAAAGTTAAACCCCGGAACCAGACCTCGACCCTATCCCGAATGTCAACACTAAAACTAAGGCATTAAACCTTAGAAGCAGTGGGGACCAGACTAAATGTCCTCACTGTCCTCTGCTGCCTCCTGCTGGTCAGGTCTCAGCACTGCAGGATGAAAATACTATGAGAGAAGATCTGAACACATCCAGACTGGTCTCTGGTGTTTTAACATGAGGAGATCAGAAACTGAGAACACTCTGGGTCAGTAATGAATATGGTTCATTTATCTAAAGATCTAAAGACCGTTCTGGTCCCAGATCTGCTGCAGTTCCAGCTCACTGCTGAAACTAGTTTGTTTCCTGCAACACACATGTGGGCTGAAGACCCTCTGCAGGACCCTGGTTCCTCTTCATATGCCGATGCCACAGACGAATTGTTGGCTTTAAAGACGTTTTGTTTCCTGTTTAAAGGGGGGGGGGGGGGTGACAGTGGAGCAGGGGGTCTACAGGGTCAGGGTCTGGCCCCTGATCCTGAAACATGAAGAATAAAAACACTCAGAGAATCCAACACGCTTCAACGCAGAAAGGAGACAAGAGATTTATTCCCACATTTATTTGTTTCAGTCTCCGCCTATAAACGGAGGTTTACCGTTAATGCATAGAGCTCTGCTGTGATTGGTGGAAAAATCACATGTAGATCGTTAGAGTCCAGAAACAGGCCAGAGATAAGAGGGGTCAGCGCTGGTTTCTAGGATGTTCTGGGTAGTGACAAGGGTGTTGCTGAGCAGCTGGAGGGGAGTCCAGAGAGTCTGAAGAGAGTTCAAAGGCTAGAGTCCAGAAACCAAGTCTACAGTCTACAATATAGGGTCCAGGGTGTCCAGAATTCAGATTCTAGAGACCAGAGTGGGGGATTTCAAAGTCTGACACTGAGCAGCAACCCCAAGACAAAATCAAGACACCAGACATGGTTTTAACAGATTAGGATTTAGTGAAACTGGCCCCATTAAAAGGACCCGAATCAGCAGCTCCCGTTAGTTCTGCAGCGTCTCTCTGGTCTCTGAGCTGATTTCTGGACTTGGTTCTGATTCTTGATCATGATGTCGTCAGGAAGTGAAGTCTGAATGATTCAACATGTGCTTCATGGTCTAAGGACTTATAACGTAATACCAAAGTCTACAGTCCAGGGACCAGACAGTCCGGACCAGAACTGAAGGACGTGTTAATCCCTGTTTAGGTTCAAACCACTGACCCCCTACCTGCTCCTGGGGATCTCACCTCCTGGTTTTGGTTAAAAGAATCAAAGTCTGCAGACAGCACAAAGAAACTGAAGGATTAACAGAGTCAGGACTGGGAGACTGCGTCCTGGACTGGTTCTGCAGGGCCCTGGACTGGTTCTGCTGGGCCCTGGACTGGTTCTGCAGGGCCCTGGACTGGTCCTGCAGGGCCCTGGACTGGTCCTGCTGGGCCCTGGACTGGTTCTGCTGGTTTCTGAAGTGGTTCTAATAGCTCTGGACTCAGTTTTCGGGTCTCAGCAATGAGTCGTTTGACGCCGACCATCCATTGGCTGACTTCGGTCACATGATCGACCATCAGCGAGCGGTGGATCTCATCAGCTGAGTCCCAGCGGCCAGCCTGTAACTCTGAGAGACGGACAGGGGGACAGGTGAGTACTCAGACAGACAGGTGTTCAGTGGACAGACAGGTGTGTAGAGGGACAGTTACCCAGAGATAGGGCGTCCATGCGTCTCCTGACCGGCAGGCTCAGTCTGCCCGACCTCCAGCTGTCCTCCAGGAGGCGGAGCCTCTTTGCCACGTCGTTACACACCTGATCCTGCACACAGAGGTCAGAGGTCACAGTCAGAGCCCATGTTTGTAGTTCCTGCTCCACCTGAAACTACAAGCCTCTCTGTGAAGCGCTCTACGTTTCAATTTGATCGTGTCCGTAACCTTCGGTCCGACCCCGAGCTCTCCGACCCCGAGCTCTCCGACCGTCTCCGCCTCCCGCCTGCTGACAGGATCAATAATCATCTTTAATCAGATCAGGAATGTTTCTGAAGGCTTCAAACTCACTCTGACAGTCTGTCTGCAGGCAGCGAGCGCTCGGTTCAACACCAACAGCACGCCCTCCACATCAGGCTCACTCTCTGATTGGCTGCTGTCGGCCTCTTTCTGACTTCTCACTGGTCCCAGGGGCGGAGGGGGCGTGGCCACGCTGCCTCCTGGAGGACGAGCTGCGAGGAAGAGACGAGGAGTTCAGAGACGTTTAAGAATAACCGGAGGTTCGGCTCGGCAGCCCTTCTTCTTACCTGGGTGCAGAGGGGGCGGGGCCAGACCACATGGAGGTGGGGCCAGAGGACTGCATGAGGGAGGAGCCATGGGCGGGGCTCCTGCATCTGAGGACCAATCAGAGACAAGGATGGTAGGGGTTTTAACCATCATGCATCTTGGAGAGACTGACTGCATTCAGACTAAACGCAAATATGTTAAGACGCTGATTTGTTAAACATCTGAATCGACACGTTTCCTTACAAGTTCTCTTTATAAATCACAATCAACTTGAAATGTGGCCCCTGTGAGGGAGCGCCATGTCCGGCCCTCCAAACGCTCAGTGAAGCTCATTAATATTAATGCCTCCTGACTGCAGGAAGAAAAGGAGGCAGACTCTGAATCTAACTCAGGGACTCTCACGTTCCTTTTGGTGCTTGTGCCCTGGCGGAAAGGGGCCCCGGAGCCCCGCCCCTTTATAACAGATCTGCAGGAAGGGGCGTCCCTCTCAGCAGTGACGTCGCTGGCTGGAGGCGGGACGACCGAGGTACTGATCCGTTTGTAAAGAGAGGAAACTAAATGACTTCCTCTGAGTTTAAACATTTAATCACACAAACTGAACGAAGCTGCTGAATTAAAGAAATATGACATAAAATAGTGTTTTATTTTCCATAACGCGTTTCTACAAGCGTCACATCCTCACGCCGACGCTCTGCGTTCGGCTCTATAAGGAAACGAACATGTGAGAACAACATATGAAACTCGACTGACGCACTGAAAACAGCATGAGTTTAAATGTCATTTGTCTCCTGTTCACCTGATTTAGGAGAATAAATAAAGTATTAATTAATCTGACTCCTGATTAAACATGTTGTGTTTATGATCCTGAATCTGGATCTTTTTGTGGCTGCAAATGATCTTAAATCATGTTTCTTATTGTTTCTTCAGAAAGGCCTTAAGCCTGGAATACTGGATTTATTTCACACAGCAGTCGCCTCTTCATTTCAAAGCGTTTCATCCTTCTGCCATGTGAGGCGCCGTTTCTCCTCTTTATGAGTTCACTTCCAGGGCGCACAGTCTCCCTCAGGGCAACCTGTGCTTGGGAAGTGGCGTCCGCACGTTTCCAGCCCTGTTGTGGACGTACGCAGCGTTTAGAAACGAGGCCCCTGGAGTCCACTGACGCCAACAACAACAGCAGATAACTCGACCTTTTAATCCTAAAAATGAAAGTTATTTTAATAAAGCAGTTAACTCTGAGCTCCTCCTGTCAGCACACGGCTCCGTTATCAGAATCAGACTGCGGGGGTTTATTGGTCCGAAGCTCCGGCGCCGCCCGCCTCTCTCCTCCAGAGCTCCTGTAGCTCAGCAGCTGCGTGACGGCGAGCAGAGACTCTGTCGACAGGAAATCGCTCAGTGATCTCCTACCTGAAGCTGCTGCTGGAGCTGCTCTCTTGTTCAGGAGGTTCCTGTGCGGTCCGCGGGCCATCTGGAGGCCGTATGAGAACTGAGGGGGGTCGTTCCAGCCCCGCTCCTGGTTACCTGGAACACAGAGAGACGCAGGGTTACCTTTGAAGGAACAGTGTCCACCTGACCCGGCTGCACCCCGCCCAAACGTTTTCACTTCCTGTGTGTGACGGTGGTTTGGATTGGACACCGACTGCGGCTCTGTTCTCTGATTTGTCGCTTGAACAGAAGTTGTTCTGCGCCACCCTCTGTCAGAGCGTCCCAAAGATCCTATTTGTGCTCCGAGGACGCACGAGCGGACCCTTCACAGGAAGTCTCTTACTGGCCGACACGCCCCCTCGTTAGATATCCGTTACTGATTGGACGCTGCAGCTGATCGGACTGATCTGACACGTCAGACATTTGATTGAAGTCAAGTTTTATGTTTGATCTGTTTTCTGGTTAAAAATCTGTTGACTGCAGGTCTGAACAACAAAAGGAGCAAAACAACTTTCTGCATTTATTAGAAAGTTTTTCTCTTTTCTGATTTTATTATGGAGAGAATTAAACGGGCTGATCCTTCCTGAGTGTTTGGTCCAAACAGTCGACAATAAAACTAAACAGGTCGCTGAAAGCTGCAGATCCAGATGATCTGATGGGAGCAGCCGGCGGCTGCTGCTGCTGCAGGAGTGTTGGACTGATATGATGGAAGGCAGCGATCGGTCGGGGCCGACAGTCTGGAGCGGAGTTAGAGGAGTTCAGAAGATGAAATAAACGCCGTAACAACCACAGGTGTCATTCACATTGAGGACCCTGGGGACATGTCCCCACCGATTTCTGAAAGCAAAAGTTGAAATATAGCTTGCGGTTAAATAACTAAATGTGTTTAGAAATGTTTATTTGCACAATAAAATATAGTAGAAACAATGTGCATCTAACAAGCTGCTGATTCTAAAATGAGCCACAAACGTGCAGCACCAAGTAACTTTAACAACTTCCTGACACAGTTTCTTTTTGTTTTCCGTTCTCTCACTGTGAACATGACAAAAGAGTTGGGAAGACTAAACCAGGCCTCAGCCGGGATGTTACAGGAGAAACAGATCTGAGAGCTGCTGTTAGATTTCTTTTTGAAATGCCACCTGATGACTGAAATCTGTCTTCCCTTTTACATAAATAAAAACATTTCCATCATAACTTGGTGCAGAAACTTCTAATCTTCTAAATTTTTAACATTTCAGGTTCCCGAAACATTTAGTTAGTAGCGTAACACGGGGCCAACCAGCAGCTTCACTATCAGAAAGCCTGAGGTTAGAAGCTCACATATTTTACCTCAGACTTTCTGCTGATGAAGCTCCAGCAGCCTCGCTGTTTAAAAGTCTGAGAGATAAATTATAGGACAGCTGATAACATCAGGCAGGTTTATTTCTACAATTTAACCAGCTACTTGTGGTTTATCTTATCTGCAATTTGGACATATTAAAGTGATTTCACACCAACAAACACAACTTAACCTCATCAGATTATTCTAATGTAACGTTAGAATTTATTAACTCCACATATCACACACGTACCAGCTGTTAAAACACAAGGCGCTGAGAAAACAACAGGACAACAACTAATAAACCTTCTATTTCTCCTGAGTACTCGCTGTTTGGTGAATAATGTCTTTGCCGAACTAAAAACAACACCACATTAATTCGTAAACGCCTTGTTTGTGTTTACTAAGTGAGTCGCTGTTGTCTAGAAGCTGATGCAAACATTGATTAGGCAGATTTTTCAACGCAGTTCGTTTGACCCGTTCTGATAATTCGACACTGCTCTCATTCCTGGGATCAAACCAGCCGAACTTCCGTGCTAACCGTTAGCCTAGCACGACAGATTAACGATTTAACTCTATATAACGTATATAACAATATTAACGTTATTAATCACCGACAGCAGAAGTTAACTCTCACCTGGTTTAATGTACATGTCCTCCATGTTGGACTCAAACAACCAGCTGCTGCTTCTTCTTCTTCCCGGTGAGGAAGTTAAGCTAACGGCTAAGCTAACCGGAAGAGTTAAAACACAGTAAAGGTTTTTAGTAACTTTAATTTAAACTAATATTTAATCAAACAGACACACAACTGCTTCTAACTCCGGTCTTATGTTTAGTTATGTTTAATTTAGCAACATCCGTGTCAATGTACAGCACTGAACACAACAACTTCCGCTCAAAATTTCAAAATAAGATTATTGTATTTTTTATTTATGTGTACATATTTTTGTCTTTTTGTCATTTATTTCTTCTTTTTATTGCTAAACATGCTTCATTATCTGTGTTTGGAGCTCAATATATAATATTATTAATATATCCGGATTAATGCTCATGTAAATATCTGCCACGTTGTTTTGTTTTTCTTTTACACATAGTTCTATGATTCTTTTATAACTTCTGTTTATTCCAAGTTTATATATTTTTAAATCTATTGAAGCTAACTGTATGTTTGTATCTAGCAAATTCCTCTTGTGTGTAAAATATTATTTGGCAATAAAGATCTTTCTGATTCTTACATAATGTCCATTTTCCTACTGAGGTACTAAAATCTAGACGAGTGAATGATCTTTTAAAGGGTTGAGTGGATTTTAACACTGTAACAATGCATTTAATAATTAAAGTTAAGTTAAGGTTACCAAGTTAAGTTAAAATGTAGTAAAATTAAATACAAGTTTTTGTGAATTAACATTTGGAGCCGGCCGACAGAAAGAGGTCGACTCTGAACAATCACAACTAGTTAATACCAAATATCAATAAAGGCTGCAGCTTAAAAGGGCAACAACACAGTTTTATTTAACTATATATTTTTTAAATCATCATCAAGGAAAAGTGTAAACAAATATGTAAGAAAAAACATTAATAAATGTGTTGTGAGTTTGACAACCTGGAGGTTTTCTGTTCATAATAATAATATTTCACATTAAATGTTTGCAGGTAGTTATTTTGGCCTCTTGTTGAATGCCATGCTTTTACTTTAGTAGTAGAACTGGTCTGACTTCCTGTAAGGAGCTCCCTGCCATCAAACATTTTCCTGGACACGTGGCCACCCTGTCACACCTACAATGAAGTCATCCATCTGACCTCTGGAGAGCGTCAGGTAAAAAAATGGTGGGATGATGTAATCCTTTGTTTGTTATTAAAGACTTTCAGTGATCATTGATTTGTGGAAATGGATCATGTTTCTGTGATTAAAACTTGTATATAGAATAAATATATACACACTCACATATTCACTCTTTAGCCTTCAGAGCTGCCTTCATTCTTCATGGCACACTTTCAACAAGGTGTTGGAAACATTCCTCTCTTTGGTCCATATTGACACGACAGCATCACACAGTGCTGCAGATTTGTCGGCTGCACATCTATGATGTGAATCTCCTGCTGCACCGCATCCCAAAGGTGCTCTGTTGGACTGAGATCTGGTGACCGTGGAGACCTCTGGAGTCCAGTGAACTCACTGTCATGTTCAAGAAACTAGTTTGAGTTGATCTGATCTTTGTGACATGGAGCATTATCCTGCAGGAAGTAGCCATCAGAAGATGGTACACTGTGGTCATAAAGGGACGAACATGGTCAGCAACATTACTCAGGGACGCTGTCGCGTTTAAACGAGGCTCAGTTGGTACTGAGGGCCCAATCTGTGCCAAGAAAATATCCCCCGCACCATCACACCACCACCAGCAGGCTGAACCGTTGATGCAAGGCAGGATGGATCCCTGCTGTCATGTTGTTTATGCCACATTCTGATTATCTTCTCTTTATATATTATAATATTTACATATATTTATATTTTTATACAGACCTGTACATGTAGGAGCTGGAATATTTATATATATTTATATTTTTATACAGACCTGTACATATAGGAGCTGGAATATTTATATATATTATATTTTTATACAGACCTGTACATGTAGGAGCTGGATATTTATATATATTTATATTTTTATACAGACCTGTACATGTAGGAGCTGGAATATTTATATATTTATATTTTTATACAGACCTGTACATGTAGGAGCTGGAATATTTTATATATTTATATTTTTATACAGACCTGTACATGTAGGAGCTGGAATATTTACATATACACACACATATGTATAAATGTCATACTATGTGAATATTAGTTGTAGCAGCATATCTAAATATTTATTATGTTATAATCACCACCAACATGTTCTGCTGCATGTTTCTGGGGATTATAATTTAATAAATATAATGAGTAAAATTGTAAAAATGAACTTGAGGTAAATTTTTTTACAGTGAAGGTCGAGTGAGGCAGAGAGCCAGAGAGGGAGGGGAGTGACGACATCAGCAGGGGGAGGAGCGAGAGGAGAGCGAGGAGGACAAGAGCATCCTTCATCAGACAGAGAGGAGAGAGAGAGAGGGAGAGAGAGGAGGGACGAACGAGAGGAGAGGGAGAGCCAAAACGCCGGGACGGAAATAAGATAAAGAAGAAGAAGACTGATGGTGTCATCTGAGAGAGGGACGGACGGAGGGACGAGAGACACTGAGACAGACAGACCGACAAAGAGAGAGAGAGAGACAGGCAGGCTTTAACATCTGTCAGCTCGGCCTGCGTTTGTGTGTGTGTGTGTGTGTGTGTGTGTGTTGGAGGGCAATCAGCTGATTGGACCACACATGTTGGAGGGCGGAGCCATGATGGGCAAGGATTACATGTTGGCCATCCTCATAGTCAACTATGACGGTGAGACACGCACACACACAAACACACACAAACACACACACACACACACGCACACGTCCCTGTCAGCTGACAGGCTTACGAGGACCTTCCTGCAGACCTGCAGCTTGTTTATGTGTCTGCTTCATCGAACAGCTGCAGACACAAACGTGCACCAGCGGGACATCACGGCGGTCTGAGCAGGGCGCCTTTGTGATCACTGCACCTGCTCTCACCTGTCTGGATAGCCAGCAAGTGCCCAGCAGGTCACAGGTGTAGGCGGCGTCCGTGGAGCTGTGGTCAGAGAGACGCTCTGGATACAGAGAGTTTGGAGGGCGGGGACAGTTTTAACCTTTTTACAGCAGAGATGTGTCTCAATTCAGAAACTTCCACTAACATGAAGTACTCTGTGTACTCTGTGTACTTACTTGTGTATTGTGTAGATTTTGAAAGGTCATCTCAAATCTCTACAGATGTTACTGGAAATGACCATGGCAACGTTTAACCGCTTCTTCTTCTACAATTTGTTATTATCACCATCACTTGATTATCACCCATCAAAATATTTGCCCGCTTGTTTGCTCACTTGACTCAGATTTAAATTTTATCAAAAATAAATAAAAATGAGTGCACTTCTACTTTTACAATCGCAACCGCTGCAGCTTCCTCAGCCGCCATTTTCACAAGTTTGAAAACACGTCGGTGGCCCCTCCTCTTTCCAAGATGGCGACTGTTGAGGGTGAGAAGTGTCAGAGATGTTTTAAGAGACACTCCACTTACGGAATCCTCAGTCTCTACAGGGGAAGCCTCCTCTAGAAAGCCAATCGTGTGAGCCAGGAAACACGTTAAGCCAATTGTGTGGCTCCACTGATGTCAGGGTCTAGTACGCACGCGTCACTATTACCACATGTGTAGTAGAAGTGTAACCTGTGGGGGAAAACTCACTTAAACCTTATTTTGGGGCAAAGTCATCAGACTTTCAGTAGAGGTGCAACAGACAGAATCTGTGAAAAAGATTTAAAAAAGACGGCTCCAAAACCGCTCGGTCAGGTTTAGGCTCCAAAACCGCTCGGTCAGGTTTAGGCACCAAAACCGCTCGATCAGGTTTAGGCTCCAAAACCGCTCGGTCAGGTTTAGGCTCCAAAACCGCTCGATCAGGTTTAGGCTCCAAAACCGCTCGGTCAGGTTTAGGCACCAAAACCGCTCGATCAGGTTTAGGCTCCAAAACCGCTCGGTCAGGTTTAGGCACCAAAACCGCTCGGTCAGGTTTAGGCACCAAAACCGCTCGGTCAGGTTTAGGCTCCAAAACCGCTCGGTCAGGTTTAGGCACCAAAACCGCTCGGTCAGGTTTAGGCTCCAAAACCGCTCGGTCAGGTTTAGGCACCAAAACCGCTCGGTCAGGTTTAGGCTCCAAAACCGCTCGGTCAGGTTTAGGCACCAAAACCGCTCGGTCAGGTTTAGGCTCCAAAACCGCTCGGTCAGGTTTAGGCTCCAAAACCGCTCGGTCAGGTTTAGGCTCCAAAACCGCTCGGTCAGGTTTAGGCACCAAAACCGCTCGGTCAGGTTTAGGCTCCAAAACCGCTCGGTCAGGTTTAGGCTCCAAAACCGCTCGGTCAGGTTTAGGCTCCAAAACCGCTC